TATTCACTGCATTGTCAAAGAAATTTATGCATCGACACATGTTTATTTTTCCAGGTTCATGTTGAAGTTGTAGTATTAGTATTAGAAGATTCTATGATCCATGTAGCTAACCTTGGTTTTTGTTATTAAAGTAAAATGGCTTCTGGGATTTGTTAATACATTGATAATAGGAATTCATTTTGCTTACCGTGCAACTAACCTCCAGTTCCCCTGGAAAAAAAAAGGGGTTTCTTTAGTTATACTTGGATATTAACTGCTTTAGCATTATGCACTGATGTCCTTGTTATTGTTGAATTTTAATACAGATGGACTTAAAATGATCCTCTTCCTGCAAAGTACAATGACAAAATGGCAGCAATGAAAGCGCCTATAACCAAACCTAAAGGAAGCAGAAAATTGAAAGATTGGGAATCTCGACGAATTTGAAGTTGCAAAGTTGCATGGAGATTTTGTCCTCTCAATTTTAGACTACGGATAAATACCAGATTCGATATGTAGTTATCCTAAATATGCTTGTGTTCTCTCTCAAACAGAACGTAAGGTAGTTCATCATGACTCAAGCATGTATGTTAAGGATCATGAAGACAGTTCTTGCAGATTGTGATAGGAATTCATGACTAATTTATCCGAATATAGTTCCCCAGTTAATGAATCATATCTGATTAAGAGTCCTAATATCATTAAGCGCTTAGGCTATGACTCCCTGTCTTTGGCTTGTCATAATTTACTCTGTTACTGGCTGGCTTATGAAGAATTTATCGAGTTTGCTGCCTATATTGATGCTTCGTGAGCCACCGTTTTTCAATTATGATAATTTATATGTGCAACTTCTTCGATATTGATTGGATCTTCCTGGAGTGACACTACACTAGTAAATAATCTTCAAGCTGAACAAAGGGGCATATTGACAGTTTATTTATATTTAACCCGGTGCTTGTTTGTTTATAGGAGTTACTTTAATTAATTTGTATTCTATGTTAATAAAAAAATTGAGGGTAAAATTCTTTTTATTTCTAAATACCCGTTGCCAGGTGGATTAATTTATAAATGTTAATCCAAACATTATGTGAAAGATGTGACAATTATCTGAAAGGTAAAAATACATTATTTTTGTTCCTAAATACACGTTGAGTGTAAAATACTTTAATTAATTTATATTAGACTCTAACAGTTACTGAACCATTGTCACATTTTATTTGTAATCGATAGCTTCATACTATATTCACTTAAATCCTATAAATGTATTTCAAGTTTTTCTTAGGTGGGTATAATATATTGCAATTAATGGTTGATTGTCTACATTTATAATATTCTGTTTTATATGGCAATTATGCCTTTTGGTTGCATACATTACAAAAGCATTGATCCCTCCCCTCCAAAAGTAAAAAGGAAAAATCAAATTTCATCTAATGGAACAAAGAGGAAGAGTTGAGGATTAAATGAAATGGTTTATTAATACAATCATAGCAATTTATCATTGTTAGTACATTTAATCTGCGCACAGTAGTGTGACATTCACTTTTTCAGTATTAAGTACCAACTGCCACAGATAAGAACTCTTCCTCCTGAGTACTGGTCATTAGAGAACTTTTTGAAAATTTTCATATAATTTCAAATTCATAAGTTCCCATAAAATTTAATGAACAGATGGATCATGTAAAGACATGATGCATCAGCAACCATAAAGATCTTTGCATGAAGATGCAGTCAAGAGTCAGACCTACAACGATAATACTTAGAGCAGCCTCTATTTTGAGGATTTGAGGGGGGTGGAAGACACCCTCCAGTTTTACTATAAGCTTCACCAGAGGCACCATCATTACAAACTGGCTGTCTCTCTTTAAAGCTCCATTGGAAATGTATCTCTTCTGCTCCAAAAACCTTCTGCTTATTTCTGATTCCATCAGCAGCTCATCCTCTATATTGCATTCTGCTATGGAACCATTGCATGTGCTTACATGACTGGTCCATGAGATCACAGTGCAGCCGCAGAAATGCATAAAGCTGAAGAGCATCAAGTAGCAGCAGCTCATAAGTCTAATGGTGGATGATCTGTGCCTTGGATGTACCCTTCCACTCAGAAGCACTATATACAGAATGTATATTTGACACCACCTTTTAGAAAAGGGGCAATTGGAGACTGCTTTAGTGATAAGTTGATGGAGTGCACTTCACCAAACTTTTTGGACGATATGGAAATTATGTCATTTTCCATGTGCTACAGATGATTTTCTTTCTTTCTTTTCTGTGAAGAATAATGATTTACTCTGTTAATAAATAATAAGTTGTTTTATATGTTTGAGATAACTGTGCTGAGGTGGTTCTCGGAAGATAAAATTCGAATATGTCCGGCGTATATTATATGGTATATATAGACTAAGTCAAATACAGACTGTTTGAAGAAGTAATACAATAGTAATTGCTTTCAGCAGTAATCATTTACAAGTAAAATACCACTCAGTAAACTATATCCAATTAGGGAAATTCTAATTCCAAACCAAATAATGCATACTCCTATCTCATATTAGATGTCTTCTAGTACTAATGCACACATTAAGAAAAATGATTAGTTTTACCAATTACTATGATTAAAAAAATTAATTTCATTAGAACACCCCCCCCCCTCACCCCAATTAAAAGTGTTGAGATAATTGTAGTAATCAGGTAAAGTTATTTTAGTTGTTAGTTGGCAAAAACTATCCTTAATAAATAAGGATATTATTGAAAAACGTAAGAAATGCTTTCTTGATTCTAAAGTTACAAATAATTTAAGACAAATAAAAAGTAATCAGATGACATTTCATATGAGACGGAAGAAGTATTTATTTGTAAAAAAATATGTTTATAGAAAACATGTGGTTGGTTATGTGGCATATGATGATAATTTTATTGGTTCTTATTATTGTCCCTTCTACGGTAAAATCCAAGGCCATAAAAATTTGTGCAAAGCGAATAAAAAAGTGAGGGGGAGTAAATAGTTATTTAACTGTTTCTGCTAAATTTCTTATTTGAGCCCTTACATACATTGAAGAAAGCATACATGAATTAAAAGTGGCGTTAGGTAAATAGGATTATAGGAAGGGGATTATCATGACAAGGGAAAAAGGAGAGAGGAGAAATACAGGTGTGTTGATGTAATCATACGTCTAAAATATTTGGTATTTTCCACATAGTTGCCCCACCTAAACTCCACTCTTTATCAGACATTGGACCTTAAAATACACTTGATTGGTGGGGTCATGGATTTCCTTTGACTCTAATAAAGCAAGGACATAACTTGAGTTCTTTTCACACCAATCTCAAATTGTTGCACTCATGGAACTTGCAAAGCCAATTTGATGGAACTGTTGATTGAGTGTGTTAATTAGGGTTGGTTCCAGTCATTTTCTTCCCATATTATTTTAGTTTAGTTATACAAAGTGGCATGCACTGCAAAGGTTTGAATCTGTACATCTTGCATGGCATTCCTGGAAGCATTCTCATCAATAATTTGAACCAGTTTGTTTCAACCTGATACTATGTGGCCGTGACTCAGTTGAGGGCAATAACATGAAAATTACAATTGGTCAATTACACCTATAACCTATTTAACATCAGGACAAATACAGGCTTAGTTGATATTTATTTTGTAGGTCCTAATTTTCATATTTGTTTTGCACAGTGGGACACAATGGTTGGATGTAGGGTTCACTCCACTGCACAAAATAGATATCGACTGTTGATCCACAAAATAATGACGAATATACGTAAAATTTCCCTCATGGCACACTTTTGTGGGATGACAAAAGAGGCTACATGTTCTAACAATTTCTCTTAGCTTCAAAGCAAGATAGTGGAACCCATGTTACTACACAGATTATGATTTGTGCCTGTAGTATTGTCAAGTGTTTTCAGACCAGAAGCCAGAACAGCACACATGGCCAAGAAAACACTCATCAATTCATCATAGTATAAATAAGTATAAAAGATAAAAATGATGTACATTGCTCTTGGTAGCTTCCTTAGTAATGTACTTGTTTACATTATCATGATTTTGAAATTTTTGAGACTCCATTTTCCAGCCTTCAACTAAAAGCTTACTGCTTCATTCTTCACAAATCATTGCATTTTCTGGTACTTATTTTGGGGTTAAGTCTGTGTCCATTTTATGGTACTATGTTCATCACCTTCAAATTCTTGTTTTAGTATACAACTTTTTTTCTAAAAGCTAGAAAGTGGAAGCTCTAATTATGTGGTTTATTCTCTCATTTATTATTTCTTTTGTGTTGTTTACATAGCTGTTATAGACTTATAGCATGATTGCAGTTAGACAAAAGTAGCAAAATCTTTTGACAGGAAGAAGAACTTTGTTTTAATGGCATCGTATGCTCATGGTAGTTGACCTCATGTAGTAGAATAAGGCTTGGTTTTTGTTGTTGCCCAATGGATACAATAAGAAATTAAAAAATAGTAGGATTTTAATAAAAATTGTATCATTTAATATTATTGTGTCATTTTCAATGCATTAGATATCAACAGAATTAGATATATCATTTTTTTTCTTTGAACTTAAATCTTCTCCCTTGTTGATGCTCAATGAAAATATTTGCAGCATATAATTCTTAATTTATGATTGACACTATTGCTGCATGGATTTGTTTTTCATCCAAATAATCGGGTTGAATTGTGATTTGAAATGCAGTTAAATTGGAACAAGCAGTGTAAAAGCTGCATCACATTTATGAAGTGACTATTAATCATAAAATCCCAAGTAGGGCCATTAATCTATGATGTTATAATACTGATTTTCCAGAACCGTAGACATGAGTTTTGAAGGTGAGCAGGGTTTATTTCACAGAGAACTTTGTTCAGGAAGATGTAAATGAACCAGTATTGAAAAACTACTTGAAAGATAACTTATTATAATGCAACCATTATACATCTGCTGCTATTCTTTATAACATTGATCCACCTCTATTCACATGGATATTGTTTGTAGCCTTACCTAAGTCGCATAGCTATTAAATCCATATGTCTGAAGTGCAGTCACCACCAGGATATCTCATCTCATGGGCAAGGCAGGGACCTCCAGGCTCATCTCCAAAGTCAACAAAGAAGTTGGGGTTAATTTTCAGACCACCATTTTCGGTATCAACATCAATCTGCAACATGTGGGATCCTTTCTCTACAAGCTCTGGATAAAATTGTTTATCCCATGCACTAAAGAGTGAGTTTGTAACATATAGACGCTTCCCGTCCAAACTCAATTGAATCATTTGAGGGCCTCCTCTCAACTTATTTCCCTGGAAAGCAAATTAACTCTTCAGCCACTAAGGGTCACATTTATGCATCAGACACAATGTTGGTAATTCGAATATAACTGAGTAAAGAATATGCATAAAAATGGGATGAATGCCCTTGCCAACTTAGACATCAGGACTAACTTTCTGGAGACAATATGACAATGCAGAGGTAACGATGCTGGGCAGTGACAATACAATAAGGTCCATGTCTTGTACATCTAACAAGAATTACTAATTTCAAAAGTTAAACAGCACTAACCTTAATGTCTGGAACATCAGATTGCCAAGTATTACCATCTTCTGTTACAGCTACTACAGGGCTTCCTTTCTGAAGTAGCCCCCCAACCCACACTTGGCTAGTCAGTACAGGATTTTGAGGGTCCTCGATGTTATATTGTCTTATATCACCATGTAGCCAATTCACAAAGTACAGAAACCGATCATCAAGAGATATCAGAAAATCAGTTATAAGCCCGGGCATTTCTGGAAGAACCCAGTTTTGCACTTTCAATGGCTTCACTGATATTGCAACCTGCAAAGTCATTCTAGTCTGTAAGTATTATTGATCAATAAGCCTTTGTTGAAGGAAGCACAGAAACCAACCAGATGACAACACAATTACGTCTATGGATATCCATTTTCTGTACCTCATGGCTACATGACTCATCCTCAGTCTTGAAAAACCGTACCATGTTACTTGACAATGCACATCCAACGAAACCTGTATCTTTAGAAGGATCGTGCAGAAACCTTACCTACATGTAGGATATATTATTATTAGTTATTGTTGAAAATATGCCTGCAACAACTGCACACGTGGCTGTTTTATCCAATTTTTAAATTTTAATTTTCTGTTATTTAAGACCTAGTTATTAGGAGTATTTGTTTCTATTTATCAGATTGAATTATTGTTAGTCGTGCCTAAAAATAAGAGATATTTTATTTTGTATGTTTGACTCTAGCTCTATTTAAAACGAGCAAGTGAATAATATCGAAGTATTCTCCGCAAAACATTTTTATCCTTCTACTCTTATTTTATGTTAACAACAACAAATTGGTATCAAGAGCCTTTATCTTTGAGGGATCTGTGAGTCGAGAGAAACACCAATGGAGGATAATACATACACAGTAGGTTCACCGCCAATTTTTGATGGTGAGGAATATGAGTTATGGGCTGCAAGGATGATCTGTCATCTTGAAGCATTGGATCTTTGGGAGGCAGTAGAAGAAGATTATAACGTTCCTATATTGCCTGACAATCCAACTGTGGCTCAAATGAAGTACCACAAGGAGAGAAAGACAAAAAAGGCAAAGGCAAAAAATTGCCTTTTTTCTGCTGTGTCAAAAATTATTTTTACAAGAATTATGAATTTCAAATCTGCCAAAGAGATTTGGGATTATCTCAAGAAACAATATTCTGGTTGTGAAAGAACCAAAGGCATGCAAGTGCTTAACTTAGCTAGAGAATTCGAGATGCAGAGCATGAAGGAGACAGAAACAATTAAAAATTATGTTGATCGACTGATGAATATAGCAAATAAAGTGCAGCTTCTCAGGAAAGACTTTCCTGATGAAAAAATAGTTCAAAAAATTCTGGTTACTGTACCAGAAAAATATGAATCAAAGATATCAGCATTGGAGGAGTCAAAAGACATGTCAACCATCACCTTGGGAGAATTGGTAAATGCTTTACAGGCCCAGGAGCAAAGAAGAATGATGAGACAAGATGAGACGGTACAAGGTGCTTTTCATGTAAAAGCACAAAATTCAAAAGGTGGCAAAAACAACAACAAATGGAAGAACAAAAAGCTAGAAGGTTTCAACGAACAGCAAGGTGAGAACTTTTCCCCTTGTCCACATTGCAAAAAGACAAATCATCCAAAAGAAAGATGTTGGTGGAGGCCAGATATCAAGTGTAGAAAATGTGGTGATTTGGGACATGTAGAGCGAGTCTGCAAGTCTAAATCAAAAGAGGCAAATGTCACCTTGGAGGAGCAAGAAGATGAGCAACTCTTTGTTGCAACATGTTTCACTACAATCAACTGTTCTAGTGACTCATGGTTAATAGACAGCGGCTGCACAAACCACATGACCCACGACGAAAAGCTGTTTAAAGAGCTTGACAAAACCACCATTTCCAAAGTAAAAATTGGAAATGGTGATTTCATCTCAGTTAAAGGGAAAGGGACCATCGCTATTGAAAGCTTGACAGGTTTGAAGTATATCTCTGATGTTTTATATGTGCCTAACATTGACCAAAATTTGCTTAGTGTTGCACAACTTGTGGAAAAGGGCTTCAAAGTCATATTTGAAAATAACTGGTGCTTGATCAAAGACACAAAAGGCAAAGATGTATTTAGCGTGAAAATGAGATCTAAGAGCTATGCTCTAAATCTGATGGAGGAAGAGCAAATAGCTTTTTCGAGCACAACCACCAATGCTGATCTATGGCACAAAAGACTTGGACATTTTCATCTTGCAGGACTGTTATACATGCAGAAACATGCCTTGGTGAAAGGTGTCTCGATGCTTGAAGACAAGTTGGTAGATTGTGTGGCTTGCCAACTTGGTAAACTAGTCAGAAAACCATTTCCTCAAACCACTTGGAGAGCAACTCAAAGGCTACAACTTGTTCATACAGATGTTGGGGGACCTCAGAGAGTATTGTCTTTAAATGGTAATAAATATTATATTACTTTTATTGATGATTATACTAGATACTGTTGGATTTATTTCTTTAAATCCAAGACTGAGGTTGCCAATATTTTCTGGAAATATAAAGCATTTGTGAAAAATCAAAGTGGTTGCAGGTTACAAATAATAAGGTCTGACAATGGAAAAGAATATACAAATGACGTTTTTGATAAATTTTGTAAAGAAGCTGACATTGAGCACCAACTTACAGTACCATACAACCCACAACAAAATGGTGTAAGTGAGAGAAAAAAATAGAAGCATCATGGAGATGACAAGGTGCATATTACATGAGAAAGATATGCCAAAGAAGCTGTGGGCAAAGGGAGCAAGCACTGCTGTATTTTTGCTGAATAGGCTGCCAAGTAGAGTTTTGAACAAAAGAACTCCATTTGAAGGCTGGTTTGGGTACAAACCAGATTTACAAAATTTGAGAATTTTTGGTTGTGTTTGTTTTTCTTATGTTCCACAGGTTAAAAGGGACAAACTTGACAAAAAGGCTGAACCCAGAGTTTTCATCGGATATAGTAGCACGGCTAAAGCTTACAGAATTTTTCAACCACAAAATGGAAAAATTCTTGTGAGTAGAGATGTAAAGTTCATGGAAGATCAACAGTGGAGTTGGGAGAAGCCAGTAAGAAAGCAACTTCTAGAAACTCCACAACTCCTTGATGATGAAGTTGATGAAATTCCTGTCAGAGGTACAAGATCTTTATCCGAGATTTATCAAAAGTGTAATGTGGCTGTCTTAGAACCTGCTGAATTTGAAAAGGATGAGAAGTGGATTAATGTTATGAAAGAAGAACTTAAGATGATTGAAAAAAATGACACTTGGGAGCTAGTAGATCGACCTCAACACAAACAACCCATAGGAGTCAAATGGGTTTATAGAACTAAACTAAATGCAGATGGTTCTATAAATAAACACAAGGCCAGGTTGGTGGTAAAAGGTTATGCTCAAGTGTTTGGAGTAGATTTTTCAGAAACGTTTGCTCCCGTTGCACGTCTCGATACAATCAGAATGCTGCTTGCTTTGGCTGCACACAAAGGTTGGAAAATTTACCATTTAGATGTAAAATCTGCATTTTTAAATGGTTATTTGCAAGAGGAGATATTTGTGGAACAGCCAGAGGGATTTCAAGTTAAGGAACAAGAAGATAAGGTTTACAAGCTAAAGAAAGCCTTGTATGGTCTTAAACAAGCTCCAAGGGCTTGGTATGGAAGAATTGATGATTATCTTAAAAAACTTGGATTTATTAAAAGTCCAAATGAAGCTACATTATATGTGAAAATGGCAGGAGGTGATTTAATTATAGTTTCTATTTATGTTGATGACCTCTTTGTGACAGGCACTAATGAAAAACTAATGATGGAGTTCAAAGCTAAAATGCTTCAAATGTTTGAGATGACAAATCTTGGTTTAATGTCCTTTTTTTTGGGAATGGAGGTGAAGCAAGAAAAAGATGGAGTTTTTCTATGTCAAAAAAAATATGCAAAAGAAATACTGAAGAAGTTCTGCATGGAGGACTGCAAAAGCATTGATACACCAATGAACCAGAAAGAAAAATTCAACAAAGATGATGGAGCCGATAAGGTAGATGAATATCATTATAGAAGTATAATTGGTTGCCTAATGTATCTTAGTGCAACTAGACCTGATATCATGTTTGCAGTAAGTGTCCTTTCAAGATTTATGCATTGTGCTAGTGAGGTCCATCTTCAAGCTGCCAAACGGATTGTGAGATATGTCAAGGGAACTATAAATTATGGCATCAAGTTCACTCACTCTCAAAATTTTCAGTTTCAAGGATATTCTGATAGTGATTGGGCTGGTTCAAATGATGACATGAAAAGTACAACAGGTTACTGTTTCAGCCTTGGTTCGGGTATGTTTTCATGGAGTTCCAAAAAACAAGATATAGTGGCTCAAAGCACAGCTGAGGCAGAATATGTGGCAGCCACTGCAGCTGTGAATCAAGCTATTTGGCTAAGGCATATACTTGTTGATCTACATGTTGAGCAAAAAGAGCCAACACAGATTTTTGTTGATAATCAAGCAGTTATTTCTATTTCAAATAATCCTGTTTTTCATTGCAAGACTAAGCATTTTAAGATTAAGCTATTTTTCTTAAGAGAAGTACAAAGAGAAGGTGAAGTCAAACTTCTTTATTGCAGAACTGAAGATCAAAGTGCAGATGTTTTAACAAAAGCCCTTCCAAAATCTAGATTTGAAGCTTTGAGAAATAAATTAGGTGTTTGCAGCTATTGAGGCAAGGAGGAGATTTGTTGAAAATATGCCTGCAACAACTGCACAAGTGGCTGTTTTATCCAATTTTTAAATTTTAATTTTCTGTTATTTAAGACCTAGTCATTAGGAGTTTTTGTTTCTGTTTATCAGATTGAATTATTGTTAATCGTGCCTAAAAATAAGAGATATTTTATTTTGTATGTTTGACTCTAGCTCTATTTAAAACGAGCAAGTGAATAATATCGAAGTATTCTCTGCAAAACATTTTTATCCTTCTACTCTTATTTTATGTTAACAACAACAGTTATAAATTATGCCACCTTTCACATAACGCTTCACAAGTGCAAGCTAGATAGAAAGAAGGAATTAAGGATAAATATATTTATCATTAAATCACTAGTATATTTACTTAATGACTTCATTTACAGAAAAAAAATCAGATATAAGTGTACTAAAACTGGTGAAAATAACTCCAGATTTATATTTAACAACTTACCTCCAAGGGTAGAAGCCCTGACTGACCAAGGTCCAATGTTTGTCTCAGCTCACCCCCAGGCCAGTTGTATACATGTAGATGTCTCCCATAAAGGCCATCAGAGACATGCTGCAAGTTAAAACCTTTGGTGAAAGCAGCAGGAGCACCCCATGATGAGCTAATCATAGTCTTATGCTGTGGTTGGTACCAGAAGTCATACCCAAATAACGGACTGTGCCCAGGTTTCTCCCACCTATGTATTTGTATCAGGATACATAATAATAATTAGAAATAATGATACTTGAAAATAAGAGACTGAATATTATTGTGTGTATTGCATTTGACCCAAAGATCTGAATTTATACAAGGATCTATAAATGGAACCCGGTTATTAAAATTCTAATTACCCTATTTAAGCAATCCCAATATTATGTTCATAATTACTATATTTACATATTAACATTCCTAGTGACCGTATTTACATGTCAATAAAACAAAAGATAATCTTGCAAAAATCAGGAAATATTCTCTGAACAATAATTCACTCAATGGTACTTATTTCATATTACTAGTTTCATAGAATTGTTACTTCCAAAGTTGCAAGGCTATATATGCCAAGAAATATGCTGCTATAAGGCACTTTCATAACAATTCTACACTAAACATTTTGCAAAACTTTTTTCATTTCTAAGTCATGATAAATTGTCAATATGTGATTAGATTTTCACCACTTCCTTCCCATGTTGACAGTTAATATGACTTCAAAAGAGAAATTAAAACTATATCTCACAGCAAATCAGAAACCAAATGCAGGAAAAAATAAATGAGTTGGAAATTTAAGAGTATATTGACATCCGATATGAATTCCTATATTTCTCAATCTATTCTATACAAGTGTACCTTCCTTTCACATTAAATTCTGGATCGAGAAGAAGAAATCCACTTCCTGCTGCATTTCCATCCTTATCTCCAAGAAATGAGATCATTACATCACCAGAAGCAAGGCAATGAGATGTGTGTGCATAAGCTAATCCAGTTTTACTTATGATGTCTTCAGGCTCAACAATTTTGTGCAAAGATGGACACCTTGGAGCTATTTCTGTGTCAATCACATAAATGCGGCCTGATCTGAAATATGTCAAAGCTGACTTTATAAGGATTTTGTTTTTAGAAAACTGATATGATATCTATCTTTGGAGTTCTTGAAACTTAATGTGAAACTAAATCCAAAATGTGTACTTATGTTGCAGATGAAGTACTTTAAGGCAGTTTTAAATGCCATGAACAGGTTTATGTTCCATGACCTTATATGTAACAAAAGGGAGGAAGGAAAGACCAAAATAATTTACTTGTACATTCTTTCTTTTCTCACTGTTACTGATTTTCAGTTTGAAGATGATATCTTATCTGGGTTCTTGTATTTCCCTTTATGATAATATAATATATCATTTTATCACAGAAGTACAACTCATTGCTGATGGTTATAGATTGACGAGAATTCCTGTTATGATAATACATACCCCCGTGTTCTGATAGAAGGAATTACTACTCAGAACCATATTTGTAAATCTCAACATCCAGATAAATGAATCATGGAAACACATGCATTGAAATAAATTAGTGCGGAAACTAAAATTAAAAGGAAAACAAAAAGGTGTCCCTTAACTAAATTGCTAATTAATTTTTTCAAATTACATAGATTTAACCCTTTTTGGAGAGGATCTGGTTATTCCCCTTAACAAGGTGGAACTGGACCGTGGTTAAAAAGAAAAAATAATTGCAGTATAATGCCCCAAGAGACATACATACTTGGGAAAATCATGTGTAAATCACATCTTTCATTCAGTTTGATGGGTAAATAAGGTGTGAAGGGATTACAAATCGAAGATATGCTTGAAACATGTATGAGTATGCAGCATATTAGCATGGTGATATTTCAACCAGTTAGTGCAAACTAGTGCTGTTATTTTACTAGAGAAATGAAAATTCATAAAAAGAATTGGAAAGACAAGATGATCATTATCTTTTACTGGCTCCCCCACCCTCCAAGTAACTGTTTAGTTTTATTCTCTTACACTAGTGAAGGTAAAATCAGAAAACGCCGAATTGCTGATGGATCTCCATAGCAAGAGCTGCATGAATTCCACCCAAAATGGTGCAGTTCATCACCTAGATAGGGTACCGGTAGCCTATGGATAACTTTTGAATACATTGGAGAGCTTGGATCTACATCTACTGTGGCTAGAAAGTCAGGATTCTCCCTTCCTGTTCCTGTATTACATTGAATATTCATCATCAACATGTAAATAAAATCACTAAACTACACATGCTTTGATACAGATTGTGGTAGCACTAGAAAGACATAGATATTCTACAAAAAGGATGTCACTATTACCCATTTTCATATCATATATACTTGATCTTTTATCAAAAACAGAAGCAAGTATCTTGAGCATCTCTACATAAGAAAGCTCAAATGTTTGTAACAAAGTTTTTGGTACCTGAGTAGATAGCAGTGACATAAAGGAGAGTCTCTCTGGGACCTGACATGGCTGCCAGTGGAGAAGCATAGCCAGGCCCTGATTTGGGACAATCATGCATGCTGCTTTGGTTCATCACCTTTTCTCTCTTCTCACAATGTTCCATTTCTCTCTCTCTCTCTCTCTAAAGATTCACTTCACTGATGTTTCCTTGAAAAGAAGAAGAAGAAGAAGATGATGATGATGAAAAATGAATAATGAACTCAAGGAAGCGGAAGTAAAGTTATAATTTTCTGTCACTGACTGTTACAACTTACAAGCTACATGTAATGACAAAAAGGAATAAAAGCTACGTCTTTGGCTTTATCAGAAGTCACACTAACATTATTCCGACTTTTGAAAGAAAAAACCGAGTTTTGAATCTGACATTTTATTGAGCAAAGACTAAAAAAAGGGTGTAGCATTTTTCCAATTCAAAAAGCCAGATACAAAACTTTTCCTTTCTAACCTTTCACTAATGTTAAATGGTTTTTTACCTTTCAGTTCCATAATAAAGTATCTTACAAGATTCCTGTCTCCTAAAGTAATTATTATTTATATGGTGTATAAGGACACATAATAGTCTAAACACACTAGGAGACGTTTTTCCTTTCAAGCCAAATGAGTGTAGGATCATTTTTCTTACCCTGTATCACCGAGAAAAACCATACACATAAGCCGATTTTAGTGCTAATCATGATAAGTATGTAAATATAGAAAAAAAAATGGGTACAATAGCAAGCAAACATAATATATGCTCAATGATACAAAACAAAAACTAAAGATCCTAACAGATGAATAGTTTGAAAACTGTCTGTGACTTTGGGCAATAAAAAACACCGAGACGTGTAACATTTTCCAATTTTGAAGCCAAAGGATAATCTCTTCCTTCAAATTTAACCTTCCATTAAATTTCGGCAGTATTTTGCATTAGTCTCTTAGTACACAGTTAGAATATGAGATGATTTACCTCAATCAAGCATGCACCAAGAGACAATAAGAAATGATCCAAACCAAAATTTTTACAAGTATAAGATACAACATTATAAGAAGCATTTTCTAACTAATGAATGTAAAATTTTGTTCACAAACTGTTCAACTTCGACAATTTGAGATTGAAAATAATAATTTATTCAATTATTTTTTCAATCTCAAACAGGAAACTAAGGTTTCATTCAAATTTAGATTTCTTCACATTATTCTAAAGTACAATATTCACTAACAATTTACATGCATTCAGAACATTTCATAGGGCATATATCAATTTCATTAATAGCAAACATAGCAATAACAGTGTAATAGGATCAGAGCATTTATATTGGAAGAACAACAGAAATAACCTCTCAGGTTTTAATTTCACAACTTAAATTTTATGAAATACATAGTTGATTATTTAACTGCATTACAGAAAACTAGTCTTCTCATATCGTGCATGTTCAGAAATTTCTAAATAATCAAACCAACATTAATATAGGGTAACTAACCCAAAGTTCCACATCAAGTTCCAAAACAATGAAATGCATATTTAGATTAATCAACTATATTACAAACAACCATTCTCCTAATATCATGTTCAGAAATTCCTAAATAACCAAATCAACAAATACACAGGTTAACTAACCTAAAGTTCCATATTTGTAATTCAATTTTTACTAAATAAAAACAAATTAGCAATAGTCAAAAAATACAAATAAACTAACCTTTTTGAAATGTAGTTCTAATAACTTGGTTGCAGATCACCTCAACCCAGGGATGAAGGAGGAGATGTTTGTAACTATTCAACGTAAAAAAAATAGGTGTGTCTCAGTGAACAAAGGTTCTTTTCACGTTTTCCATGTCTAAACATACTTAGAAAACATAAAAACGTTGATGAATATACCTTTGTAGTACGAATGCGATGTTACCAGCACAAATGCTGGTGCAGAAGCTTCTAAGAACATAGTGAATAGAGATAAATTTGGAGATAAGAGTGGACACGAGGATAAGGATGACTAGATTTGGAGCTAGGGTTTATTTTGAAATAAGACCTAAGAGAACAGTTACAAAATAATTACTCTCTAATCTCACTTCTCAAAGCAGTTTCATATGTCAACCGCTTTCTAAAGTCTACTTCTAAGAGAGATTATTTAATAACCGCTCTCGAAGTAAACTTTAGTATTTTATATAAAGCGATTTTTATTAACCGCTATCCAAGTTGGTGCTCCAAAAGTCATTTTCTAGCATAGTGCCTCCTCCTTTTATATTCACCCATTACTTTACTTCTTTCTCTCTCAATCACGCATCCAAATTCCAAACATAATAATTACAACACCAAACAAAATAAAAAGAATAATCAAATGTAAAAAAAAAAAAAAACCCAAAGAAATTAACGAATGCAGTTCATATGCTAATGCGGTCGTTTGATCTTTCGATTATGCTCAGACAGCTTACCAAATTTTCTTTTATTCTGTTATTGTTAAGATTCAAATAGAGCCCAGCTACATTTTCCATTCAACAGTGTCATTGTACCAATTCTAGTCCGAAACAAAAACCTGGTACTGTCCAAAAGTTTCATGAATTAATCCTTACAAGCAATTTCTCGCACACACTTTAGTTCCTTTTTCCATTGTTCCAATACCACCCTAAATTCTTATTGCGTCTTCACAACAAGCGAGTCAAAGCCATCGTTATTGGTGCCTCCTAGCCTTCCCAAATGCATTCCTCCATGCCCATATTGTTGCACGACTAGCACAGATGCTCGTGACCCAAAATTGTTTGACGCCAAAATATCTCCTATAACTCCAAGTTCCAAGCAATCACACCAATCCAATAAATTTGAGAAGACCTTAAAGTTCCTACAGTTTCCTTGTCCAACTACGTATAAATCACAACCAAATTTTTCTAGCTCATGGAGAACCGCGGGAATATCTTCACCAACATGCACATCAATCTCTGAATAGGTTATAGAATCCTCATTATTCACTGCTGTAAGTCTAAACAAATTCATGTACTCATCATCTAACTCTTGTTGCTTCTCATTATCCATTACAGCAGATAATATCCCTTGTGCTTCTTCGTGAATTGAAGTATCAACTTCAGCAGCTTCATCAAACAAAAGAATCCTAACCACTGATAATCGTATTCCTGTATGACCCGCCATTCTCCATGCAACAGCTAGGGCTTCACGATCATCAGGCCCACCAACAAAGATCATAACAATACGCATGTTTACTTTTGGAACTGACCCAAGATCACGATCAACGAAGATTCCCACGGAACATGGTGCACGCTGCATTACTCTTTGGTTTATGTCTTTGTACACGGCACTGGTTAATTCTAACGTACCTTGTGAACTATAGTGTTTATGAAAGGGAACGAGAATTAAGCTCGAGCGTTTGTCATTTGCCAAGTTGTAAATGTCCTCATTAATGGTTGCATAGGATGAAACCACATTTATGATTTCGATTCTGACAGCATCATAGACATCTCCGAATGCTCCGAAGGTACTGGAAATATTTTCTAACTCTTGCTGTGATCTTGTGAGAGTTTGTAACCCGGGTTGGACACTAGGCTGTTCTATGTGTGAAGCAAGAAGGGCTGCAGCACGTCCAGTGAGTTCAACAAGGTACAGTGCAAAAACGTGTATAGGGGAAAGTCTTGTGGCATTGAAAGATTCAATTATGCTGATCATGCTCATGGCCTGGCGATTACTGTGGACACATGCCACAATTCTGAGCTCAGCATCCACTCTTAGCTTTTGTATTGTCTTTAGCTTGTTCTGCTCAAATATCTTTCTTGGCTTGTAGATGGCATTAATCACAGGAGACACTATTACAGTCATTAGAATAACAGCGGAAGCAATCACCGCATATGTAGGTGGAGAAAATATCTGCATGCAACAACACATTATAAGAACTTAAAAATTCAATTGCAATTGTTTTAGCAGTAAAAAAAAAAAGCAGGCTTAAACATGTTTTTAATCTTTATATTTTTGCAAAATTTTAATTGTAGTTTTTTTAAAAAGTCAATTTTGTCTTTAGTCTTTGCCTTTTCTAAATTTAACACTTTGATATCTAATAATTAATACAAAATTGATACATGACAACTTTTTAAGTAGTCATGTTATTGTTAAGGACCAAATTAAAGTGTTAGACTAAAATCAAAATCTTGAAAGGATATAAGGACAAAAAAACATGTCTAAGGCTTGAAAAAAAAGAATGCGAGTCAATAAAAAGTCTCAAATAGATCGATACCGTTCTATCCCAAGCAATGTTGAGCATTACGAGGGCCATGGCGCCTTTGGTATTCAGAAGCAAGCCTAGGGCTAAACCATCTCGAGTACGCATGCCAAAGAAGAAAGTGGCAAATATAGTGCTCAAAATCTTTGGAACAAACAAGAGGATTACAATGAGCAGCGTCATGTGCCAATGTCCTCCCAGGAAAAGTGTGACCACCGCAAGTCTCATTCCAGTCCCAATAAAGAACAACGGTGCTAGAAAACCGCCAACAAAATCATCGGAAACCGACATCACCGTGTCGGAAAACCTTCCATGAGGTAAAATTAACCCATACACAAAAGCCCCAACAATGCCATGTGTCCCAAGAATATCTGTAATGTAAGAACAAGCTAAAACCCCCATCATCACAAACAATAACTGATTATCATCCCACTCATCCCTATCCGTCTTCCGATCAATAACGCGTCCAATGATTGGACGCACCGCAACAATGCATACTACTATGAATATTATAGTACTTAGCACTGAGTACACTGCTACTTTACCATTAATCGCAAATGGAACCAAAATGGTGAAAAGAAACCAACCATAAGTGTCACTGATCATAGCTGCGGTTAAAGCCACTTTGCCGAGACCCGTGTAAAGGAGTTTAAGCTCAGAAAGTGTGTGAGCTAACACTGGAAAACCTGTAACAGTGAGAATCAAAGTCCAAAGTAGATAAGCACTGCTTGTGCTTTCTTCAAGGCGCAAGATAGGATTTTCAGAGTGATAAAATTTTCGATGTAAAGCATATAAGCCCGGCGCCATCATCATGGGAAAGATTATTCCCGCAATAGCAATGCATGCAGCCTTTTTTTTGACGTGTAGAATGGTATTTAAATTTGTCTCCAAACCGCTAAGGAATGCATAATAGATGAGACCAATGTGTGATAGAACTTCGATATTTAGGACCCCTCTTACAGGAAATACGAGACCGTAAAGGCTAGCGTATCTCCCAAGTAGTAGTGGAGTCATTAGGAAACCAACCTGCATATTTAACCACAAATTATTCCAATGCCAGCCAAATCAGGCATTTCAAAATATATTGAATTCTACTTTTAGATCTTATAAAATTATTTTTTTTGTTTTAGTCTCTAATTTTTTAAAATTGTTCGTTTTAGTCACCCTCACTGATGTGATTTTGTAAAAAAAGCAACACATAACGTAGAAATTTGATATGTCACGATATTTGAATTAGTTACATTATTATTTAAACAGAAAAATTAACAATTTTTTAAAATATTATGACTAATTTTTTAAAAAAATATATAAGAATAAAATTTGATGTATTTTGAGAGATAAAAAAATGTATTTAACGGTAATATTTGATGATTAAAAAATTAGAAATAAAGTGGAAGAATTTACTATTATTAATAATCATTCATCTCAAAAAACGAAACTTAAATTGTAGGTTTGTATTGTATACTTACAGAGATTTGTGAAATGAGACGAGGTTGATGGAGAGGTTTATAAATAAAGAAGAAAAGTCGAGAAAAAACAATGGAGAAGGCAATTTGAAAGGCGAGAATAGGGAGCTCCGATCTTAGGACATTATCAGTTTGCCATGCTCCACCAGGATTAACAACAGATACATTGTAACATGCAGGTTGCTGCATCGCCATGATTCCTCTATGATATCTTGTCACTTTCGATCTTTTTCAATTGTGACTAACATAAAAGATTACCTCAGCTTATAATGTTGTGTTATTTATGTGTATCATAACAATCAATCCAAATATAGGTGAAAACAAGTTCCACCTATGCGTATATATTTGAGCTGGCCTTTACCTTATTATTATTAGTTGTAATTTCCTATTGCTGCCTTTTGTTGCTGTGTCTCCTTTGTCATTTTTCCAAAGGAACGATGACAGTAACGGATTTCCATTCTCTAATTTATTATTTTATTTTTTAACGCATTATTCACAGGATACAATATTGTCATTTGCCAACTCATTATCTTTGGTGTTGCTGCATTCGAATCATAATTATTTTGAGTATACACAAGAAATCTTTTATTGTAAGAAAGAAAGAAAGAGTTGAATCAATACAGACATTAACTAATGCACATAAATCTAAAAGCTTATCTTTAATCAAAACAAATTTTAAAAAAATTACAACTCAATAAAAAAAGAAACTTGAAAAATTACCAAAAGAAGCATGTTTACTTATATTAAATTGATGAAATTAAAAAGAAGAAATAAAAGAATTTTTTTTCACTAATTTGATTGGATTGAACCACTATTAGAAAATGAAATCAAAGAAAATAAGGTCAAACACGGTAATATTTAATATAAGAATATATCAACTTTATTAACGGAGGAAAGATAAAAAGAAAATACTAATGTGAAAGAAATTAAGTTTGTTAATGATGAAAAGATCCATTAAGTATGAATTGAGCTTGCTTTATTTAGTAGGATGTTTCTGTAATATATGACTTTAAAAAATGGTTAACAAAGAAGTACTTTCTAAAATTTTTCTTAGATAGTGATTATAAAGTATTGATCTTCAAGTGTATCCTAGAGAGCAATTTTTTACTATTTGTTCTCTTAGTTGGCGAATTATAAAATAAAATATAGAGTAGTGGAGGTGCATACAAAGAAATTTAAAAATTAAAGGTTTCAATTATGAGTATCTTGTAAAATTCTTGTCTTGAACTTAGAGACAAACACCAATTAGGACGTGGGTAACAATGTTAGCAAGCAACAACTTTGTTGACAACAAAGAACGCAGATGGTGACTAGCGAAGGTAGTTTACAGTGATGAAAAAGGATGGGTACACAAAATATTTTAAGAACTAACAAAAAATTTTAGAGACTAAAATATTTGATGGATAATAATTTCAAAGACTAAAATAAAATTAAAAAAAATATGTCATACCATATATAATGTTACTTTTTGATAAGTTCATATTTTGACACACTTTTCTAGAGTATGTTTATATGTACTTATTTTTAATTTGAATAGATTTTTAAACTAATTAACTTGCTATTGACTATAGACTAATAGACTTTTGGGTACGTTCATGCTTGGAAGAGTATGCAGGGTCATGCATAACTCCTATTTAGGGGATCTTAAATATCGTGACAAGGAATCTGATTTTTACACACACTACTTTCTAAATCTTGACTTCATCAACCATTAAAAGTTAATGTAGAGTGAGAGATCATTAGCAAAGTTGACGAATATTCCTGAGCAAGCTATTAAGTGCCGTTTGGAGAAAGAGAGCTCCCTTCATTTTCTTCCCCTTCAAGTTTCCTTAGTTTGAATTCTCCTTTCAAGTGTTTATGAATTTGTTTAACAGCTAGGGTTATGGTAAATTTTATTGTATACTTTATTTGATTTTTATATTTAATGACAATATTAGTTTATTTTTAATGTTTGGCACTTATTCTATTAAATTGTATTTTGCATGTTAAAAATTGATTACTTTTAGCATCTCATAATTAGTTGCATTATAGGCAGTCGTATTACATGTAATTAATAGAATTATAAAATAAAATGAGACAAAGTATTAGGTGAATTAAATCTAACTCTTCTTGTCAACTATTATTAAATTAACAAATTCATAAGTTTTTTTAATACTTTTTTTATCTTTTGTCTTGCATGATAATTAAAGGTAATTATCTAAGAAAAAAATATTAATATTACACGATCATGTGTTAATAGAACAAGTATAAATATTATTAATATTAAAATTAGATTAAAAAACAAATAAATAAATATAATAGTTGAAACCATGTAAGCTCATCTCATCTAATTTATGTGAAGAATTGATAACTTGAAATTTTTTTAAAAAAATTTCTATTACTTTTTAACTTGTAAATTTGTCTACAAACACTTTTATCATATAATTAATTATACATATTAATTAATATAATATCATAGTAAAATATCTAATAAAAATAAAAGTCAAAATTAACATAATAAATTTAAAATTTTAAAAACTAAAATATATAACGAATACTAAAAATACGGGAGTTTAGCATTTGCCCTCAGATGCTTACAATATTCCATATGCATCCAAAGCAACTTTCATTCAAGCAGGTGCTGGAGCACGCAGGTTGTTATCATTCAACAAAGATTTGCTTTGCTTGTACCTTTTCTATTTGTCATAAGATTTTATTTTTTCTTTTCTTTTCTTTTCTTTTTTTTTTTTTTTTTTGTCTTTTTTGTTGGATTAGATGAGCCAAGTCATCACCCTCCGATGCAAGTCAAAGTTCCTTTTGCTACTGTGGTCCACTGATTTAGACGCATTAGAGCCAAAACACAACATCATGTGAAGTGTCACAACCAATTGGGACGCAATCAATGGATGAAGTGAAACACATTTCACAACAAGGGAGAAACACAGAGAATTTACCTGTGTCATCATGTTGGTTTTGTCATTGGCTTTTAGGGCTGTTTGCATATCAAGTATAATTAGGCAATGAAGGGAACAATAAACCCACTAATCTGTCTTCTTGAAATGGAGAAAAATGTAAATGGCAAAAAACAAGCCTTTTCTTTTACCAAGAAAAGTCGTTTATACTATACTGGTTTCACTTAGTGCCTTCTTTAACAAGTTTTTGTCAAATAATTTGAACAACCAAAGAGATGGAGGATGATGAGGATCCATAATTCTCAAATTATGCACAGGTTGTAAAAGAAAGGCACCAGCAGAAAAAAGTAAAGAAAATCGATTAAAAAAAGAAAACCCCACAATAATTACGTTGTAACAAGGATACCGATACCCTACCTACTGTTCCTCCTCCTTTTACATTCAGCCATTACTTTACTTCTTTCTCACTCAATCACGCATCCGAATTCCAAACATAATAATTACAACACAACACAACAACAAACAAAATAAAAAGAATAATCAAACGTCAAAAAACCCCAAGAAATTAACGAATGCAGTTCAAATTCACAACAGAGCTGTTCTGAAATCCGAAACTGAACCAAACCGATAAACTAAACCTTAAAATCCCCAAGCTGCTGAATCTTGCAACTCTTCGAATCCCCACCCTCACCACGTTCTACGTAAGAGTAATACTTCAAGAAAAAGGCAAGAATCAACACTACCCACTCCAAGCAAAAGATCAAAATAGTGAGTCCACCGCCAAGTTTGAGAATCACCGAAGCATCCTCTTCCCTCACGTAGGACTTCAATTGTGCAAGAAAATCACCGGTTCTGGTAAAAACGAGAACCGAAACGGAACCCTGAAATATAGCCGTTAGAACAGTGGCTACCATGTGAGCAGAGTACCAGCGGTTAGTCCCTGCTGAGACTGCGGAAACAGCACTTGCAATGGTGAAAGCGTGTAGAAGGATCAAGAAGAAGCCACAGATTGAGGGAAGGAGGCGAAGAGAGAGGGTGAGGAAGATGCAGCTGGAAGCTGCACCCAAGAGAATGTAGTTGCAGAAGAGGAACACCTTGTGGATGTGATATTGAGGACTCGTTGACACACCCATTTCCTCTGTATAGATTAATCAAAGTATGATATGATATGGATATCAAGTTGTGAGTTTAAGAGAAATTTATATATGCTTTGCTACTAATTAAGATCAGAACGGTCTAATTATCATGTTACCGTTGCCAAAGGAAACGAAGATGCTCCTAACGGCTAGCTTTTAAACCTTTTTATTCTTCTTTTTTAAATCCCAAGTTTCTTTCTTTTTCATGGGCTTCTTCAAAACTACACAATTAATTTAAACAGACAGAAACTTCTGTAGGTAAAAAATGCCCTTTTCATTGCTCTTGCTTCCTTACCTAAAATTTCCTAAACTGAACCTAATTTATGTTATGCTAGATTTTGATTTGCCTGATAGGTTTTTCATTAATTATAACTGCAATCCCAATGTGATAAGTGAACAGAATAAAGTTGAAAATTTAGGTGGTATTCTTTAAGTGCTGATAACATTATTTAGGGTTCAGAGTTTTATTAATTAAATATTATTTATTAATTAAAATTAAAATCTTATTTTAATAAAAATGTTTGTATTTAATTTTACCATAAATTATGGTGACTGCACTTAAATTTTGCTCATAGACTAATGAGTTAAAATAATTTAAAAGCATATATGAAATAAATAACTTTGTGATTCTAATTTAGTAATATTTTTAAATAGAATTTACTATTAGCTTCTTCTTTTTTTATGGTAAAATGAATTTATGTATCCCGTTTTGTTGTTTAATTAGAATGTATAATACCTCAACACAATAATATACTTTTTCCTGTTTAACTTGAACAAAAAACATGGTTAACAGCGATATTTGTAGATGCAATATTAACGTATTGGCTTCCGTGGAAACGAAAATAAAAAACAGATGCATTATTCCAATGGTTAACAAGAAAAATATCATATATTGGCTAACAAAATTAAAACATGAAAAACAAAGACAAAGGAAGCTTCAAATTTTAGAAAAAAATAAGCCATTATGATAAACCTAACACTTCCAAGAAAGGGAGACAGACTTATTTCCTTTCTCTCCATTTTTCCATTTGAGTGGGATATTGGTATGATCCAATCTAATCCTTGTACTTCATTTCAGACATTAGGAAGCCAGGCATTTCAAATGAGGAAGCGAACTTCTCAACATCAGCTTTGAGAGCTTCGATGGCCTTGTTGTTCACCAAGCCCTTGTTGAAATCCTTTAGAAGCTTCCCATGCTCCTTCTGGATCTCCAGTGTCAGAGTCACCGCACGGTGAAGGAACTCAGCAATCTGCTCAAAGTCTTTCTCAACCAAGCCCCTAGAAGTCATGGCTGGGGCACCTGTTAACACAAACTTCAGTTAGGTACTCACGCATTCAACTATAACATCTGAGATTAAAAAGCCAAAAAAAGCAGAAGCAAGATCCAAAGTAAGTATCAGACACTAGAAATAAGCATTAAACAACTTCTTCAGATAATTTAACAAGGGTCCGAACCAATACACCTTTGGCAAAGCAAAGCACTAAAACACATTCTGCATGAAATTTCTTCCAATCTACAACAATTTTCTAAGACACAACTACATCCAAAAATTAAGATCTCTTAACCTTGAGAGATTTCTTTCTGATTCTAAAAATAATTACAAAATCTTCATATTCTTTTGATCTTTTCACTTCACTCAGTAAAAAACAAGTTTTTATTTCCCATAGAAAAGTAAATTATCAGTGATAAGTTTCTCACCAATTCGTACTCCTCCGGGAGCCAAGGCACTGCTATCACCAAAAACAGCATTTTTATTCACCGTAATGTTACAGAGATCGCAGAGTTTCTCCACCTTATTACCTGCAACAAAACAAACCATTCACACAACAAGTTCCATATAGATCACAAAGGAGAAACCCCTCATCTCACTCATCATTTACCAGTCAATCCAAGAGGCCGTAGATCCCACAAAACAAGATGGTTCTCAGTTCCACCAGTAACAAGACTATACCCTTTGCTCATCAAGTAATTCCCAAGAGCAACCGCATTAGCCTTAACCTGCTTGGCATAGGCCTTAAACCCAGGCGACATGGCCTGTTTCAAAGCCACTGCAAGAGCACCAATCTGGTGATTATGAGGCCCACCCTGAAGAGAAGGAAACACAGCAAAGTTAATCTTATCCTCAAAATCGTAAACCGCATTCTCAGGTTGTCCCTTCTTCGGCGGTTTCGGTCCCTTCCGGTAAAAAATCATTCCCGACCTAGGACCCCTCAAACTCTTATGCGTCGTGGTTGTAACAATGTCACAATACTCAAATGGGTTATTCACTTCTTGAGCAGCAACAAGGCCACTAAAGTGCGCCATGTCACAGAGCAACAATGCACCACACTTATCAGCAACGTCCCTGAAGCGCTTGTAATCCCAATCCCTAGGGTACGCACTGCCACCACAGATAATCAACCTTGGCCTGAAATCTAAGGCCTTCTCCTCCAATCGTTCGTAATCGATGTACCCGGTGGCGGAGTTCACCTTGTAGGGAAGACTCTCGAAGTAAATCGAGGTGGCAGAGATTTTCTTTCCGCCGGAGGTGTAGTAACCGTGGGTGAGGTGGCCGCCGGAGGGGAGATCCAGCCCCATGATGCGGTCGTGCGGGTTCAGCACGGCGGTGTATGCGGCGAAATTCGCCGGAGAACCGGAATAGGGTTGCACGTTGACACCCCATGATTGGGGGTCCAGGTGGAAAGCTTGGAGGGCGCGTGAGCGACACAGGTTTTCGATCTCGTCGATGAATTCGTTGCCTCCGTAGTAACGGTTCCCCGGCATGCCTTCCGAGTATTTGTTTGTGAGGGCGCTTCCAAGAGCTTCGATCACCGCGAATGAGGTGAAGTTTTCCGACGCGATTAGCTCGATGCCGCGGCATTGGCGTCGCTTCTCCTTCTCTATCAAGTCATGGATCTCTGGATCCACCGTGACTAAGGGCGCGTTGCCCCACGCGCTTACTGCATCCATGAATGTTGGAGAATGAAAACGAAACGAATGAATGCGTGAGTGAGTGAGTGAGTGAAGATTGGAGAAGAGAGGAGAGAGTGTGTCTGTGGATGTGGAATATGAATTCCCGAGTGTGTGTTTTAAAAGAGGTTCCAACCAGATGTGAATCTATCGTTGTAGCTTTTGCTGATGCTTAAGTTAGTTGGTTTGTTACTTTGAGGTAAATTATGTCCACTTGTTCTGGTGGTCGTGCTTTCCTAATGCTAACCACGACTTCAATTGTTTCCAATTTTATCATTATTATTTCAACTACTTATATTGTTAATTTAACAATTCATTTTTCTTTACATAAATATCTGTTTGTTTCCCACTCATTTTATTAGAAAATGTTTATTAGTCCAGTCAAATGTCGCTTATAAGGCTTAGCTATTATTGGTACATATATGGAATGTGCATTTTTCTCGTTTATCGTTTCACTGCGATATAATATTGAACAGTAGAAAGGCACACCAAGGTTGAATAGTATTATTGGTGGGTTTTTCTTTCTTTTAAAAGGTGTGGTGCTGCTTTTCATTTGAAATTTGGAAGGTGCTTACATCAAAGGCATCATGCAAGAAAGAACTTGATTTACTTGGATTAAGATTAAGCCAGAAATTCAATGGTTCTATATTTGACTGGAATCCTGAATGTGATGCCCACAGAACATGTATGATTTGGTTTTTAAGTTTCTTTCTTAATTTTGAGTGTTGTTGGTGGTAACTGGGTTGGTGGGGGCAATATAGCCAATCTATTCCTACCACAAAATCACCAACCCTCCCTCCCTACTACGCTGACGCTTTCCTTCCCTCGCACCGTGCTTTACTAATCATTTTCATAAAATAAATTAATAAAAAACGACTCTTTGAATAATATTAGAGTTACTATATTTGCTAGTTGGTAAATATTATCTCCGATAAATAAAACTATTGTTAAAAAGAATAATTATTATTTTATAATAACAAATAATATAAGATAAATAATATATATATATATATATATATATATATTCAAATAACGTTAAAATGAAAACTAGAAAGAAACAAGAAATTTATGTATGATTAAATTTGATTTAATCAAAGTCAAGATTCAGCAGCCATTAATTAACCAAAGTCAGCAACCACCTAGAGTGTTCTGCTTAAAAAAAAACACCGTTTGTCTTCGGACCATCAAGCTTAAAGGAGAAATGGTGTTTGTATAATAAATACCTATCAATATTTCATATAAAATTGAAGAGATAGAAAAATAAGAGAAAAACTCTGAACCCATACCAACTTCTTTAAAATTATTGATTCCACTTTAAAGGCATACCAGCAATTAATCTGTTTACTATATAAAAAAAAAAAAAACAATTATTGCTAAGTTTTATAAAAACTTGTATTCTTGCATTTGTAACCATCCTACAATTTGTAGTCATAAGAATCCACCAGAATATTTCCTTACAGACAACAAAATTTGGAGATTGAGCTCGAACTGGAATTCCTCCACCCATAACACCCATTTCGCTTTCTGAATATCTCTATTCCTTGTCTCTTGGTCATTGGATTGAACAACTTCACCAGCTTGGCCCTGAAAATCGTCGTTCAAAACTTGTCTTATAAATGATAAAGAAGCATATTAACCATAATTACACTGACTAGGAAACATTTTCATACTTGATAATTTCATACCTTTATTTTGTGGTTGACTTCAATTAGCCCACTCCCAAAGCTTTGCAAGAGTCTTTGAATCACGTATGCTATTTGCGGTTGGCACGTCCCAACTTCTAAACCCACGAGTACAGTACCTACCAGTAGTTTTTAATTTATGACTATACGATGCTATCTTGAGTCCTACGATTCGAATATTTTTCTTTAAAAATCCCCTTTTATAAATACGTGATTGTATACAATTAATTTCAGAGAAGAACAGTATGATGCATGTTGTCATCATAAATTAACTATTAGGATCGTTTAAAAAGATCGGAACCTCAGACAGCCGACAAGAGAATCACATGGGGTTTTCTTTCTTTTCATTTTTTTTCCTTTTGAGAAATCATGTTTATGCATAGAATTTGCCCTAAATATTATGTGACAAAGAGAGATAATAGGAAGAGATGAATTACAAGTGTAAAACAAAATGATTGTGGTGATAAAAAATTAAAAATGATATTATAAAAAATGTTGAAAAAAATACCATATAAACATTGTCACTCTTTTGTTTATTCATATATACATGGGTAGTTTTCAATTTTCTTACTTTACTTTTTCAAAACTACTAAACATTATAATTATGAAATCTTCTTGTTATATTTTATAATATTAAGATCACTTTCTTTTACTTGTAGCGTGGAAGCCCACTTTTTCTCTGTAAATTTTTGGAAAACAAATAATTTGACATCCTTTTTAATGTAAAGTGGATAGAGAAAAGAAAGGGATAAAAACAGTAAAGTAAGAGTTATGATTAATCATACGATAATTAATAAATAAATAGAAAAACAGTGAATGTAATATAATTTTTATTCTGTTTCCTTCAAAAGGAAGCTGACAGACACAGACTTTGCCGAGAGCGAGTATAACGTTTTCAGAAATAAGAATCTTGGCTGTGTGTTCAAACTTCAAAGTGGCTCTCAATAACGAGATTCAGGTTTTATATCTAGCTGTAAATTCAAGGGGTCAATAATATAAAATGGGGTTTAAGATAGGTGAAAAGTTAACCAGCAAAAAAGATTATTTATTGATAACATTTAACATTAGAATAGAATTGGTATGAATTGAAATGAACGTGTTTGATTATGTAACATTTAAAGTAATATTTGAAAAAAACAAGAGTGGAAAGAGAGCTAAAACAAGTGTGTGAACAAAAAATAGACACAGAATGAAGATGCAGTAGAAAAGGTGAAGGTTGGGTAAAAACAAATATCTTCTCAATAATTGTGAATGTGAGGGGCCAACACTTTTGGTTGGTCGAAGATGGCACAGCTAATCACAGTGAGTGGGGGAGTGGGGACCACAGGGTTGATTATGTACGCTGGTTTCATATTTTCCTTTTATCACAATGTTTTGGGACATCCTAATTTATGAACAAATAGATCACCGACGACAGAAAACGTTGTCGCTTCACTGATATTTTGGTTTGGCAATGTCCAACGGTCACCCAGCAAACAAAAGATGGCAAATCAGATGCAACCATGGGGACATTTAATTAGATATGTCATTTGAAATTACTTTTATTTAACTAAAATTTTATAATATTATAAAATATCTCATTCTTAAACACACAACTTATAGCTGAGTCACATGCAGTGCCAAAGGACACAGATACTACAAAGGCTTGCGCCCAAAAGACAAGTTTACCCCCGTTTACAAATTGATCGAAATAACTTAAAATCAAGTTAAAGATTAATCAAAATTGAAAACAATAAAACCAATTATCGTTCTGTCTTTACTTGACCCACTCCATCGACAGTGAATTTCATTTTCACCACAGTCGTATAGTTGTTTCAGTAAAATGAAAATTTCTTAAGTTATAGATTTATTAGAAAAAATTGATCGAAAAGATATACAGTGATCAAGTTTTTTTTAAAAGAATTTTATATTGAGTTAATTAATTTTGTGCCCTTAATTTCTAGTTGAAATATATATTTTGACAATTTTATATAACATAGTCTTAATAAGATTTTAATAAAAAAATTATATTTTAACAAATTTCTTGTACATAATATGACTACAAAAACATTGATTTTTAGTTGAAAATGCAGTAATTTTTCAAGTAAGTTTTTAAACAAAGTATAGTTAAGAAAAAAATATGATTTTTTTAAATCAAAATGAACAAACATTTCAACTAGTTTTATAAAAAAAATCGGTGGCTCAAGAGATATGAATTTTTAGTCAAAAAGAAAGTAATTTTTCTTTACAAGTTTATAGATAAAATGTAATAAAAAATATGAATTTTTTAGTTGAAAAAAATATATTTATTTTCATAAGAAACTTGTAACTAAAGAAAATAACATTTCAACAAATTGTTTGACAAGTTTATAAATAGTTTGTAGATAAAAATGTAAAATACAAAAATGTTAAAAAATTAATAAAAAATTATTTTTTGAGATTTTTTGAGGAAATATTATATTCATTCATTGAGGTAGAGAATTAGTTAAATATTACTTCATCAAAATTAGATTGAAGTTATTTTTAAAATGAAGAATCTCAAGTGTAAAGGGTTAATAAAAAATGAAAACTTTGTGTCAAAATATCAATACATTAAAAAGAGTTAAAAAATATGTTTTAAGCGATTATGTTATAGAAAATATGTTTTAGGTAATTATATTTTATTTTATCTATAAATATAACAAGTAAACATTCATATTTATTATATTAGTATTACCAATATTGTACACACATTAAACTTAACAAAAAAGAGACCAACAATTATTTATCTTATTAATTGAAAGTTATACATTTCATTTCATTTGCTTTAATTTAAAATTGTTTAGCTATTTTTTTTTCTTCTACTCAATTTACTTTTATTTTACGTTTTATGCAATGCTAATTCACAAATATATTATAAAAAAACTTATCAAGAAAATTTAAAATTTAATTTTATATTACTCTTGAATTTATTTATTATCTGAAATTATTTTTATTAACAAAATAGCATTTTGTAGATTGTAGTCAGTTCACATTCAAACTAAAATTGATTTGTTTAAAATGGCTTCAAATGTATATTTTTTTCTTTTGTATTTCTTCAAAATTTTCTTTTGTTTACCTGTGATTTTTTACGCAAGATAAAAGTTTTCTTAATTTTATCCTACTAGGATTTATTTCAGTATTACAGTATACGACATATTTACTTTAAATAATAATTTTATAGCTCCAATATCGTGTAATATAATATTGTTTCTTTTTTACATATACTTATATCGTACTACAGCTTGTGGGCATTTTGTAGTTACCCTAATATTGGTCCAGTCAAAAGCAATTATTTCAAAATATGCAGACTTATTCTAATTAGTGAAATTTATTTCAAAGCAATTTTTGATTTATTAAAAAGTAACTAAAACTCTATATATAAAATTATCTTGCATATTATCACATACATAAAATTACTATTAAAATTTTTAATTTATAGAATCATAATTACATATATCTGGAATCATAATTCTCAATTTGATTGAGTTCAAGTGGTGATTTAAGTCGCACAAAATTTAACTTTACATCGAAGTAATGAATGAAAATAATAAAACTAGAATTACGTGTATGAGAATATGAGAGGCACCTAAAAAGACATTTTAACGTTCAAGTGTATATTCCAATAGAGTATTAGTATGGAAAAAGTAAAATATTTGATAATGTAAATGCACTTTTTATAAACAATTTAAATGCGAGTGAATCATAAATTCACAATCAAGATATAAAAATGTTCTCATAAAATGAATTCAATGTGCACAAAATATTATAAAATTTCTTAACACCAGAATTAAGTGTATCATAACAATATCTTCCACTGTCCAAAATAATTTTAAATAAAAAAATTAACTTAATAAACAAAAAATAACCATTAACACCCAAATATACAATAATTCAAAATGTATATTATGAAAGTTTTAATTAATTATTATAATTAATCAAAATTGACAACAGTAAATTAAGAGGGGGTAAAACGTAAGTGGGGAGTGGAAAAGGGGTAGAAAGAAGAAAAGCAGATGGAGTCCACTCCTTCTCACCAACTCCCAGAGGGTCTGAATCCCTATTTATAGAGAGCACAATCCCCACTTCACACTCGCTCTGCCTCTTCTCTCATCTTCTTCGTTGGTCACAAACCCTTCTCATTCATCATGTCTTTGTCGGTCGAGAAAACCACAGGTGGCCGCGAATACAAGGTCAAGGACCTTTCCCAAGCAGACTTTGGTCGCTTGGAGATCGAGCTCGCTGAGGTCGAAATGCCGGGCCTCATGGCCTGCCGGGCCGAGTTCGGCCCATCACAGCCCTTCAAAGGTGCTAGGATCACCGGTTCCCTCCACATGACCATTCAAACCGCTGTTCTCATTGAAACCCTCACCGCTCTCGGCGCCGAAGTCCGCTGGTGCTCCTGCAACATCTTCTCCACCCAGGACCATGCTGCCGCCGCCATCGCCCGCGACAGCGCCGCCGTCTTCGCTTGGAAGGGTGAGACCCTCCAGGAGTACTGGTGGTGTACTGAACGCGCCCTTGATTGGGGCCCTGGTGGCGGGCCTGATCTCATCGTTGATGACGGTGGTGATGCCACTCTCCTTATTCACGAGGGTGTTAAGGCCGAGGAGGTTTATGAGAAGACTGGTCAGCTTCCTGACCCTGCTTCCACCGACAACGCTGAATTTCAGATCGTACTTACTATTATTAGGGATGGGTTGAAGACTGATCCTAAAAGGTACCGCAAGATGAAGGAGAGGCTCGTTGGGGTTTCTGAGGAGACTACCACTGGGGTTAAGAGGCTTTATCAGATGCAGGCGAATGGGACTCTCTTGTTCCCTGCTATTAATGTTAACGACTCTGTCACCAAGAGCAAGGTATTTTTTGTTTCCCAGATCTGCTTTTGTTTTGGTTTTTTGGATGCAGATTGTTGCTTTTTTCGTGTTTGGATGATGGGTGGGATTCAGATCTGTGTTTTTTTAATGGGTTTTGTGGCATTGGGGGAAATGATTTTTTGAATCTGTTAAGGGTATGCTTGGAAAGTCCACAAACTTTTGTTAAATCATCTTTTAACGTAAAGATATGACATGTGAGTGTTGAAATGAGTTCATGTTTGGAAGAAGGATGGACTGTTTTGTGTTATTGATTTATGGGATGGTGGATCTAGTTTATTATGGCTGAAATTGATGTGTCGTTTTCTGTGAGTTTTGTTTAACGATTGATTTATGTCTGGATTGTGGCAGTTTGACAACTTGTATGGGTGCCGTCACTCCCTCCCTGATGGACTGATGAGGGCTACTGATGTGATGATTGCCGGGAAGGTGGCTGTTGTGTGTGGATATGGTGATGTTGGAAAGGGTTGTGCTGCTGCCTTGAAGCAGGCTGGGGCTCGTGTCATTGTTACTGAGATTGATCCAATTTGTGCTCTTCAGGCTCTTATGGAAGGCCTTCAGGTTCTTACCTTGGAGGATGTTGTTTCTGAGGCAGATATCTTTGTCACCACCACTGGTAACAAGGACATCATCATGGTTGACCACATGAGGAAAATGAAGAACAATGCCATTGTCTGCAACATTGGTCACTTTGACAATGAGATTGACATGCTAGGACTTGAGAATTACCCCGGGGTGAAGCGCATCACAATCAAGCCTCAAACCGACAGATGGGTTTTCCCTGAGACCAACTCCGGCATCATTGTCTTGGCCGAGGGTCGTTTGATGAACTTGGGTTGTGCCACTGGACACCCTAGTTTTGTGATGTCCTGCTCCTTCACCAACCAGGTCATTGCTCAGCTTGAATTGTGGAAGGAGAAGAGTAGTGGCAAGTATGAGAAGAAGGTGTATGTTTTGCCTAAGCACCTTGATGAGAAGGTGGCTGCTCTTCACCTTGGCAAGCTTGGAGCTAAGCTTACCAAGCTTAGTAAGGATCAGGCTGATTACATCAGTGTGCCGGTTGAGGGTCCATACAAGCCTGCTCACTACAGGTATTGAGATTGAGGTGATGAAGGGGTGATGGAGAGTGAGAGGAAGGAGAAACCGTTCATGGATCGGCTTGATTGTTTCATTTTCATTTTTGGATTTTTGTTTTTTAGACTTCTCGGATTTGTGGTAGAAGAATGAATTAGACGTTTCTGATGTCGGTAGATTTTCTGTTCGAGTGGGTGGGACGGGTAATGAGCATGGCAGCCCATTGGTTTCTGTGAGTTGAGACCAAATGGGTTTGAATAAGGCTTGTTTCTGTTTGGGGATGTGTGCATTTAGTAGCTGAAATCTGTGTTTATGGGCATCTTAATATATCAAAAGAAAATAAGGATATAAAAAACAAAAAAAAAAGTTTTTCTTACTCATACATCCAATATTATTAAATACTAAAATACTGTTTGGGGAGATAAAGATTTGCCAGAACATTTCTCTTAGCGACGCATTCTTTAATATGGTTTTTATTATTTGGTAAAATTATCATTATTAAAAAGAAAATAGGGGTAAGACCAACATTATTTCATATTTTGCAAAATGATAATTAAATACGTTACTAAGCAAGTTAAATAGCATTTTTCTTCACTATAATGCGAAGAGAATAGGTAATTGCTGATTTCAGTCAACCTGTCTTTCACGGAACCTTTATTATAGATATTACGTAGCCCTCATTAGACACAACCCTTGCCTACTTCATAAGGATTGAAGTCGTGCCTGAACTTCTGCTGGTACGGAAAATGACTAGTAGCCATTTGCATGTTGAATATGCTTACTGTATTTTATAATTCTTGGACCCCCAAAAGAAAGAAAAAACTGTTCTTTATTATTCTCAGTCGGAACCTCAGAATCAATTAGTCAATGAAGGTTGCAGAAAATAAGCATGAGCGAGGTATATTACAGATTCATTGAACAAAAACGACTATTTAGAAGTTTTTAAAACGTCAATATCAAATTCAAATTAATTAGTGCATTTATCAAAATTCAAAAATAGTATTTGGTCAGAGAAAAATGAAGGGAAGGGGAATTTTTTTTTTTTTCTTAAAATGATTGGTTTAATATTTTGAAAAGAAGTGGAGAAGAGGAAGTAGAAATCTCTACTCACTAAACTTCAGGAATGACAAAAAGAAAATTTATCTAATGGGTATCAAAGTAAGCAAGGTAATTTAGCCAGTCAATGGATTTACGTGTGAATATAAATTGATTATCTATATTAATATTTTTTTTAACAATATGTAACTAATTAAAATTAATATGAATTTAATTTGAATACACTGAGAGTATAAAAGTGTAAAGATTTTTACACTGTCATCTAAACATGTATTATTATATTAGCAAAAATTTTTAGATTTAGTAATAATTAATATAAAAATTATATCATATATTTTAATTGGTTGACATTTACATTGACAATACACTAAAATTAAGCTCAATTAATATATCATTGTTTTGTGGACCTTAGAAAGTGCTAGCACAAAACTAGTAACTTTGTTGAAAGTTTACTTATTTTATTTTTTTTACTTTCGATATGCAGTATCATAAATTATAAGATCTAATTTTACTACGTTATTGTTGAACATTTGTACTATATATTTATTTTTTGAGTTTATTGTAATTTTGCATTATATTTGATGTGTTTTTAATCGATGTTTTAGATTAGTTTAGTAAAAAGTATAAAAATTATATTTTATTTTATTCTTCATGTATTTTAGTTAACTATGAATAATAGAAATGAGTATGAGAATTTAGGTACTTACGAACATAAGGATTAAGGTTGTTATCCAATTGATACGAAGGAGTAAAATTAATATTTTAAAAAGCAGGAATAAAAATAGGCCTCATAATATCTTAGAATATGTTTGATTTTTTAAAAAACAGTTTTCTGCTTTTAAAAATAAAATTAAAAATATTCTTCCTCTTTATCATCTTTACTCAATTTCATTTCATAGCTTAAAGGATTTGGAAGTGAGAATTTTTTAAATAAATTAAATAAAAAATTATTTAATTTAATGAATATATTTAACTATCTTAAGTATATAATAATAAATTTATTTACTTTCTTTTTTTTCTCCTTTTTCTCTCTTTTTAAATCAAATAACCGAACACTAGATAAATTTGATAAAATTTTGATGATATTTTCGCTAATTCAGGAAGAATCTCTAATGAGCTGATGAAAAGGACAAAAGCAAACAAATGGAAATTGAAGAAAAGAAAAAAGACAAAAGGTTAGTCATTAGTGGGTGTAGAGAAGTAAAAGGTTGGTGCATGGTGCCGTGGTAGGTGGCCTCCCACTTGTTTTTGTAACCTATTAAATAGCAACACATTTCTTTAAATATTTTTATTATTATTAAAATTTATTAAAACTTAAAAAACAAAGTGAGTTTTATTTTTTTATTCTTAAATTAGTGTTCCTTTTTTATATTTTTAATACACTTTAATAATAATAATAATATATATTAAAAAAAGTATTACTAGTATTCTACTAAATAAATTTATGGTAGGATGTTGTGACATTATTTCATGTGAAGACAACAAAACATTAGTTATGGAGGCTTTCAATATTGTTTTTGGGACAGTGATTCATTTTAATAATAAATTGAATAATCATTGAGTCGGATTCACATATGAGATTTCGCTGATGAATTTTAGTGTATAGCACTGTGAAGAAACGGTGAGCAAAAGTTATAATAGATTATGTAATATAACTATCTTATTTTATAAGATAGAAGAGAGTAAAAGTTATTCAGGTAATATAGCATCACCAAATAAAAAAATTAGTAGAAAGAGAATAAACAGAAAGAAACACTGTTTGAATTGATAGAAATAAGAGAAACAAGAATAGAAAAAAAGTTTATATTAAAATTATTATTATTATTTTATTTTAACAAAAAATTATAATTTATAATTTAATATTTTTAAATTATGTATTTTTAAATATTTTATATTTATTTAAAAAAACATTTTCAAAAAAATATTAAAAGAATAAAAATCTCACATCCCTCTTCACTCAAAACGGATTTTGAGTGAAAAATAAATTGATGGGCTCTGTATAGAAGAGTTTTTTTCACTTATATAAGACAAAACATGTCAATACATAAAAGCTTTCTTTTGCTACATTTTTCTTTTCCTTTTAATCTTTTCTACCAAAACAAACAAAACATAAGATTATGCGAAGGAGCTTGTAATTAACACAAAGATTATTACACTTTTTTACTTCGACTTTGAAAACAAGTTTAATGAAATTAAACTTTTTTTTGTTCAATAGTGCATAATGAGTAGAATTACACTTACCATCTGAAGCTTTTTTTTTTGGTTTTGTTTTTGTCATTACCTTCAGCAGCTTAAATTACATTTTGTTTTGGTTGGGCCAAAAGTATTAAAATTGACCAAAAACATAGTCCAGAAATATATATTAAAAATCTCCCTATAAGTCGTTTGTATAATATGTCAGCATTTTGTCTGGACAAAAAAATAATATATTTCTGTCACTTCAATATGGCCATGTTCCGAAATAACAAAAAATAAAGAAAGAAAGATAGTTGTCACGTTTTATTTAAGGGTTTAAATAATATGAACAGGAAAGAAATTATCATTGGCCTGTCATCCAGTTACTTAAAATGCTTTAATTGTAGAAAGTGAATTTGTTTTAAAAAAAGTGATACGTACTATAACAAATTGGTGATTTAGATATATGAATAATTGTTTAAATTCAGATTGGAAAATAAAGCAGTTAATTTTGGCAGATGACTGATGAGATTGATATTTTCCAAGAAAAATGTTTTAAAATTTGTATTTTCTTTGTCATAAAATTGATGTTTTTAAAATTGTTGAAAAGGGATGTGGGCTTGTTTCCAGACCCACAACTGCCCATTGCGTATGGATTGGATCCCCCAAGTGCACCAATGCACACAGCCTTCTGACACAAAATATTCATAGCCTTTACTTTTGGAAATTTTATATTTGCTGATTTGCACTACCTTTGAGTTTTTATTGTTACTTTAGAAAATTACATTCCAATTATGATTCATAAATCACTTTCATAATTTAATTTCTAAAAAAAGGTAAATATATTGTAGAAATTAAATTCTAAAGGGATAATTGATAAATTACTTTCAAAATTGAAATGGAGCAGACAAAGCTCAGTGCTTAGTATATGCCAACCTTGGTGGTTGTTTGAGCACACACGTTCTATTGTTCATCTGCTAAGCACATTTCACTTTCATATTATGATATTATTTCTCACTCAACTGCCCACCCCGTTCCCACCCCAACAAGGAGAATAAAGTAAAGAAACAAAAAGGAAAACAACAGATCGACTTAGAAAGTTCTCGGTTCCTATCACTCTACCTGAAATGACACTGCTATTACTATTAAAACGCTGGAAGGACTTGACTCATCTATAATTGAGAATTTTTCTATTAGTAATGTGATGTGATTGACTTATTTAGAAGAGTTTATAAAAATACTTTAAGGAATAGATCTTGATAATCCTTATGATTCCAAAACATCTTGGTATTATGTGGGAGATGTGTCAAGAAGGAGTGGTGTCACAAGCCCCCCATTCACTTTTTAAAATTGCCACATTCATAGTATTTGATTTTTGGTCCCCATGCCTCTGAAATTTGCCCGTCCCCATCATGAGGCTATTGAATCATGTTCGAGCTTCCTGACTTAAAAAAAGAAACCAATTGCTCAATTAATGAACCCCCTCACCCAATCCTCCCTCCTCATTTTAACAAACTCATTTGATCAGCTGTCTACCCTAAAATTGAGCGTATAATTTTCTTATCATCCATTTTTAAAATTGAGGTTTCTTTACTGTGTTTGCTCCTACTATCGAAATTGAGTTCGTCCCTCGCTGACCACAGCTCATGTCTATAATTGTCTCTCTACACTCGTTAACACCATCATCATAAAAGGGGTGCTTCAAGACAGATTTTCGGCTGTCCGAAATTTATACTTCCAACAACAAAGGCAAAAGAATGAAAGACACGCATTCATAGTCAATCATAGGTTTGTGCCTTTATGATACACTGTACTTCCGCAAATTTGCATACCAACTGTTACCTCGCCACCATATAAAAAATAAGATGTGTAAAATGAATTTGCTTTTTAAGTACACATGATAATCCGGTCACTTCTGATTTAATTTAAATCTTATAATATAGCATGACTCCAAACTCAAATGTGCTCTATTACTTAAAATCTTTAGAAACAAGCTTCACTTGAAAGAATTTTATCTAACCATACATATTAATGTTGACAACATAAACATATGTATTTCTATTTGCTAGTTTAAGTGTATTTGCTAATTTCTAAAATTCAAATAAGTAGGTAAAATAGAATTAGTTTCAAAATCATGAGTGAAACAATTGTTGACGGTGAATTTTAAGAACTAGAAAGAGTTGTGTCTCGAAAATATTCAACCAGCAGAGAGTTATGAAACTAATAGATGATTTGCAGACAACATATAATTATATCTCTTTAGAATCATCATGGCCAGAGACATCCTGGTTACTGGTGTCGACAATCCTTAGTTACCGAACAGTTAGTACTATAATAGTATTATGCATCTGATCATTCAGTGAACAACACAGTTTCCGTGTTGTGTTAGTTGGAATTCCATCACAACTTTCCACCATGTAATGAAGAGTAAAGTTGATGCTATTCATCAAATACCTACTGCTAGCTCTCTCCACAAACATGGAGGAAAAACCCCCGAGTCAAAAGATTACAACAATATGCGTGAAAGCCATTCCAAAACTTGAATATATATACATCCCACCCAAGCAGCCAATTAACACTATATCCATCAGTCCTCAAAGCTGGTAAGGATTTCAGATTTTTCACAAGAGACATCAGGCAGTAAGCCAGAATGATTTCAGCCCCTTGCAAATTATATTGTATATTAATCATGGAAATCTCATACCATTACTAACTTTGCTCTAAGACAGCGTGCTCAAAGTGTGAGCTGATCCATGTTCTTAATGTTTCTAGAGATTCCATGAACTGATCGCCCTTCATCTTGTTCGTCGTATGGGTTTGCTCGGTAGTTGGATATTGCCTCTTCATTGTCTGAACAACCTGGTCTTTCGGTAAGGAACTGTTCCCAAAATACATCATTCACTCTATCTGGAGCAGCAGGGTTAACTTGGTTGTTACTTGGAGCCTCATGTGATGAAGCTAAATTGGCAGTCTCAGCAGCTACATTTCGGTTTGAGGAAACTCCACTATCAGATTCTTTACCATTGGCAAAAAATCTCGATTCTGCCAATTTGCCAATTTCTTGACAGTCTATTTGGGGTGATCTGGCTGAGTATGAATTTCTGTTGACTTGCAATGGACAAGAAGCCAAAGTTAAATTTAGTTGGCAGGATATATGACTATCACCTTCTTCACTACTTGGCTCCAAAGAGTGCAGTTTTGGGCTCTCAGCAGTTGTTGCTCTTCGTGATAAACATGAATCCATTTTAAAAGTAAACGATGCCCCAGTATCTGCAAGCTCTAATGTTTCAGGTGGAAATGCAAGAGCTGTTCTTGTCTGCACTCCTTTTGGTTCTTCAGACAGCTTCTTCTGTGGGCTTCCCCCCTCTTCATTTGAGCTCTGGGTGCTGCGTGATACTAAGTTCATATCTGAAACAGCAGGTGACAATTCCAGCCTGAGTTTATTTGAGAAATCTTGATGGAAAACATTCCCAAATTCCATTCTAAAATTGCTATGACTGTCCATAAAGTTACTTTCAGCAACTGGTTGCATGTGATCAACCAGAGGCAATCGCCTTTTCTTATTATATGCTGATAAATCCATGGACTCAATTTTGCGTGAAAGATGTTCAACAAAAGTAGGATTATGAAGAGCCTTCTCGAAGAAGTTCAGCAATTGTTTCTGCCTCTTCTCAATACCATCTAATCGTTGCAGAAAATCTTCCAGCTGAAGCTTTGCTGTTGACTGATGCTGTTTGAAGCTATAAATATTGGATTCAAGAGCAGTTTTCTCACGTGAAAGTTTCTCTATTTCTTCCTCAAATGCTGCCCGTTCTGGATCTACTGGAGAACCTGGAGGATGACTATGACTGTGGATAGGTTTCCTGCGGTGTATATTCTTAAGAAGATGCTTTTGATCTTTCACAAAATCATCATTAGCAAATTCCCATCGCTCAGGATGTACTTTTCGAAATCCCTGATAATGAAGAAATATCAATAAACCAAAACAAATTAAAACCAAATACTGGTTTTCAATACTTGACAATATCAACAATAAAAAAATTACATGCCTATAAGTAATTATTTATCATTCCTATACTTATACCCATATTGGTGCAACATAGTCTATCCTGAGGTGAAATTTTTCTCAATAATTTCTAGAAAACATAGTTCAAACTCCAGGGCATGGGCAAATGAGCTAGTCAACTGGTGTCAGGAACATATCTAAGGTGCTTTATTTCTAAACTACCAAAGAACTAGTCATTGTGAAATGACTGTGCGTTGTCTATAGACCCAAGCCGCCAACAATTATCCATTTTCTGCAAGATGAAATAAGGGTGGAATCAGTAGTTGGAGACTTAATCGACAAGGACAAGGCTACGAAACAACTGATGTTTCCTTCACAACAAGCCTGGGAATAAATGAAGAAATCAACTGATAAAAGGAGGAGTATCAGAGTTTTGAGGAAGGGGATTGTGTGTTTTTGAATTTGAGATCCCATCAGCAACAGTGTGCCAAGGAAAATTAATCCTAAACTTGCAGCATAGCTCTATCAATTGATGGAAAGAATTGGTCCTGTAATTTAAAAGGTAAAATTTCCTACAATTTCCCAAGTTCATCCCATTTTCCATACCTCTCAACTTAAGAGGCCTGTGAGGAATAATGATTTCATGAAGGAAGGAACAAACTTGGGGATGGAGATGAAAGTCACAAATATGAAGATCCCTGAAAGTGCTGGCTATTTGAAACATTACACAACAAGGCCAGAAAATACTGTTAGCCAATTTAGCGGGAAGGGCAACCCATAGAAAAGAATAGATGGAAAGATGGCTTTAATGGAGTGTTTGGATATGGGTGGGGTGGTTCAAACCCATGTTTGCAAGAGTAAATGTGGGCATTGCAATTTTTTTCAACATGTTTGGATTTATGCTTCAAAAGAGATTTTGACTCTAAAATAAATAATGAGCAGAAGCAAGTCTCAAGTAGCCTTTGCACTGAGTTGAGAATTTTATACTAAATTTTACTGCAAGCTCATTTTTAAGACCAGAGTTTTGAAATCCCATCAATATGTGAGTGCAGATAGACAAGTGTAAAAACACTCAACAGTTTGATAGCACAGCCCTGAATTTAATGATGGGAACAACATTTTGAAGGTATTGATATGAAGATGAGAATATTAATAAGCATTGGTTCTTTGTGAGGCTTAAGACCTACTAATAGACCTACATGAACTAATTATGCACCTCGGTTGGCCATTTTTATGAATATTTATAACTGAGGAAGAAAGAGGAAGTATATAAAGTAGAATAACAAATCCTCCTCGGGAAAATGCTATCCTCTGGTACGGAGTTCATCAAGTTTGGTTATTTAAGGATGAGTAATTCAATTAAAATAGACCGTATTTTAATCACATAATATTCTCCAGTGCTCCTCACATTCCCAATGGTTTCTTGTTGGCATACAACAACTTTTGAACACATTTTCATAATTAATATGGATGTGATATACCAGGGAGTTGCAGAAGATTGATCAACCTTCTTTGATGCAGTCAGAGTCCTATATACTAAGCAATATCTTCTGCCGAGTGCCTAGTTTTTTCCAGTGCTTTATTTGAGCAAAGAATATAGCAAGGTGGAGCAGAAGATTTTTTATTACCTTCTTCAACAAATTCTGAGTCCTATACCCCAAATCACTACCTTTCACTGTTCAAACTTGTGAATCTTTTTAACCCTAACTAAGTTATATCTTCAGATAAACTCCATCAGATCCATATTGAAGGTCTATCCATCTCACTATACAGTTTTTCTCTATCTTGTGATGACGATCACCATTCATCGTACATAAGCAATGTTTCAATTCAGTTCCGGGCAAATATCCAACAACAACGATTAAAAAAAATAGTGAAATTCGGTAACAGTTAATTTTTACCAAGACAGAATCAAATTAAGCAAACATATCAAACAATCAAATTAGAGACATAGTGAGAACGAATAACAATCAAATAAAAACAAGCATATCCAACGAAGAAACGAATCGAAGTAACTCACGTAGGTATTGAGCTGGCGAATAAAGCTGGAGAAGTTGTTGTGCTTGAAATAGGTTGGAAGAAGAAGGCGAGCAAACTCGGGCGGGTTCCAAACGACGAAGCTGCCATTGGTGGAGCTCCACGAAACGATGTCGTCGGTGGAGGAGTCGTCCACCATGTCATAGGTCTTCAGAAGGAACGGCGCCGGGCCTCCGGTTCCGACGGCGGCGGAGGGCGGCGCTCCGTCCATTTCGGAATGCAACGGATCTTTCTAGAATCTCTTGTTGTTGGGAAGAGAGAGAGGTTTGACTTCAACGCGGTCTCTACCGTAGGCTGCTGGTTGTTGGTGTTTGATAAAAAGCCAACTGCCAAACCCATCCCTCAAATCTATTCTTTTTTGTTTTTGTTTTTGTTTTTGTTTTATCTCTCTGCGTTGGATTGTGCATCCAAATCCAAATTTAATATTAGGTTTGTAAAATTGGGCACTAATTATTAAGAACAATAACAAATTTTGTAAGTGCATTAAATTTAACCTTGTTTAAAATACTATATAACTTACTTTTTATATACTATAATTAACTGCTTTGATTCACTTCAGATTTTGGTCAAATAAAGTTCTTCGACTCACCATAAAACAATAGGTATATATTTTTTAGACAAATCTTCATGCTGTGAGAGAGTCTTCGCTTTTCGAAAAACTAATATGTGTTAATAATATTTTTAAAGATTAATTTATCGATTTAGTCTTAGGTTAAAATTTCTTATGAAGTATATTAATTTCATAAAAAAAATTGCTAGTTTGTGAAATTTTTAATTCAGAAGTATAAACAAAATTGACACTGTAACTTTTTTGTTATTTTTTGAAATAATATTAATAACTTTTAAAATAAAAAAAAACTCCAATGTTTCCATCAAGCAACCGACAAATATTTCAAAGGCGATAAGAAGGCCGTTATTTACCTTTTTGAAACCCTAAGCCTAAGCGAAATAAAAAATTAGGATATTTTAAAAAAATTATAAAATATAATAAACAAAATAAAAGCATATATTGATAATTTTATTAAAATAATTTTTTTAAGTGGATATAATTTTTTCTAATAAAATTATAAAAAAAATACTTTCATTCAAACAATTTTTATGTTATAATTAACTATAAAAACATAAAAAATAATAAAAAAATAGGTTCTATGAGTATTTTGATATGTAAAATCATTAATGATAACATATTTTTTTAAATTTTTTATCGATTAATAAAATTGTGAGATTATTCAACAGTTCTTGTCATTCAAAGATTCATGGGACATTGATGACTTTAAGTAGATTTTGATTAACTTTAACTTTAAAAAACTTCTTTCAGTCGATGATATAGTCAGCAGGACAATAAAAAAATGTGATTAAAATATTTAGATAATAATCTGTAAATTTGACAAACTCAATAACTATTTAATTTTTTGAAGAAAATTAAAATTTTTCATGAGCTTTAATGTTAAGAATAGTAAAATTTTGAAATTAAATGAAGTTTTAAGTCTATAGAAATCAATAAGTCGATTATGTTTATAGCAAGTGAGATACGAGAAATTAAAAGGTATTTTTTATTTTTTTTTATTTTTTTTAACTACAAATTGTAAGAGCTGAAATTTTTTTCAAGTAAAAGTATGACATAATTTTTACTTTTGACCCTCTTTTAAGTTTGAGTCATAGGCAATCACACCTTGAAACTATCTTCAAAACTGGGCCTGACAATCTATTAAAAAAAATGTGAGATGTAAAAATAAATTTTTTTGGTTTATAATATTGAAAACATAGACAAGATTAGGTAAAATTGAAAATAGATATGTTATCAACTGAGAAATAAAATAAAATAAAAACTAAAATCAAATGTTTGTGAAATGATCATAAGACTGTACAATATTTTCTTGGTAGCTAAAAATTTTATTTTGCTCGCTAAAATTGTTTGAGCTAAATAATATTGTTTGTTTCTTTAGTGATTCTTAACATTTTAATTATAGTTTAAATAATTTTTTATTATTTTTCATCATTATCAATATAATAGTATAGATAATTTATATTATCTATTTTATTTAAGTAAATATTTATAAACAAAAATAAAGTTTTGAAAATTTATTATTTTAATATTAAAACGATAGATAATTGAAAATAAATTTCAATATAAATCTAATTATTTAAATATAAATACATAATTATTAAATTTAAATATTTATTTAGCTGTAAGTTATACTATTATCTATTATTTTATATTTATTAGTTATTTTATATGATTAATGAGAGTAAATAAATTTATAAAAATTAGAAATTCAACTAAAAATTTATTATTTTAAATTAATAAGTATTGTTTGCATCGTCTCATACAGATATAGAAAATTTATAATAAAAAAAAGTAAATTTATTGTTTTTGTCTTTTAATTTGAGAGTAAAATTTTATTTTGTCATCTAACTTTATTTATATTTATTTTAGTTTTTAATTTTTAAAAATATTTTAAATAATTTTTTTCTTTAACAACATTGATTTTGTTAATATTTTTTTATTACGTATATTTTTACATACTTTATCATATTTTTCTCTCAAATATCTGTGCATTATTTAACATTAAAAAAAAATATTTAAGCTTTCTCACCACCTTTTGACATCCATCGTGTAAACTCTTCCTTTTTAGTTCATAGAGAAATTATATAATGATTCCTTGATTAATTTTAAAATCCAAGCTACCGATATATATTGTCTTAGTTATCAAATTATTGTTTATATAATGCTAACTTACAAAAAGTGTAATGTCACAATTGATACTTTGAAAGAAAAATGACTTAAAAAAAAAGTCTGAATGAAAAATTCTACACAATAATATTTAAATTTTACAATTAAAAAAAACACAACGCTTATAAGAATAACTTTTAAGTTCCTTTCAATTTTATGGTAGAAATTAAATCTATTATGAGAGTTGGTTTACTTAAATAAATTTTTTTAATTAAGTCAGGTTAGTCAAATAAAAAATGAAAAGGAAGAAGTATAACTAAAATTCTTAGAAAAAAGACAATGTATAATGTATGACAAAAAATAACAAAATTTATCATTAGAGTTAATATTTTTTTAATAAAAAATACTTATTTAAAATATTTTAAAAATTAAAACAAATCAAAACAAAGTTAAAGAATGAAATTAAATTTGATTCTTAAATTAAAAGATGAAATTACTGACCTTATTTAAAGAAAATTTTTAATAAATTCAAACTAATTATTGTTATCTTACTATAGGAAGAAATATTATTTTTAATTAAATAATAAATCATTTTAATTAATAAAAAATTTATTTTATTGAAAATATTAACTTAAATTTTAAAATTAAATTAAATAATTAAAAATATAATATTTTATTAAAATATTTATTATATTTTTACAATATTAATATAATAAACATCTTTATTCTTAATATTATATAAAATATCTAGCTATTTGAATTTATTTTTAAGAATTAAAATTAATAAAATCTAATTATATCATATAATTCAACTTAAGATAATTTAAAATAATGTTCAAAATAATGATTTTCAACGTATTTACAATTAATAATTAGATTGCTTTAAAAATACAAACAAATGAATAAATTATAAACAAAAAATATAATTTACTAATATTTAATAAAAAATTAATTAATAATAAAAGGTGTATTTATAACCGCGTGTCACTGGTGATTTTCAAAATTAAATTCATATTTATACACGTGACGATGACACGTGAGATTATTTTGATAGCCTGAAACTTACAGAGAAGATCCCAAAATCATTTCTCTTCTCCCTGGTTCTTGGCTTCCTGCAGTCTTTCCGAAGAGCGCCCCAGCATCGCCGTCTCCGATTCCGCCTCCATCGCTGCTGGCAGAGGCCCTCGCCGTGTGAGGTTGGTTATTTCTCCCTTTTGAAGTTTTTAACTCTTCTCCTTTTTTATTTCTCTACCTGAGTTCAGAATATTGTTTCTTTTGCCCTAATATCATCTACACGGATGAATGACGTAACTTAGGATTTTCGTTTCCTTCGAACTTACGTAATTTAATTGAGTCTGGTTTAGAAATGTTCCTATCTATATATTCATAAAAAAATTGAAGGGACCAGTGAATAAGAGCAAATAAGTTGCAAGCAAGGTGAGAACAACAACACTTTACTCGAACGAGAGCAGAAGATCGTGTGTTAGACCATATCTAGGGTTCGACCAAGAACAGAGAGGGAGGAGGAGCGACCAGTAAGTAATTTAGGGTTGGAACGGAATTGTTTTTTGGAGGCAAACTGGGTCATACCCGAAACTGGGAGTTTGAGTTGATAAAAAGTCCTACGATTTTAGATACGATTTTAGGAAGAGCCAAAACCCCTGGAGGTGCGGCTGCCGCTTAGAGCTAAACTCGAGTTATTTTCTATTATTGGGAATCATCGTGGTTTTTGTGGTTAGCTCTGCCGCTGGAATTTGAATGGTTTATTTGTCCTTCTTTGTTTCTTTAGTGGTTGTTGGTGTCGTCCTTGATGTCAGGGTTGTTCCATTCAAGATCTATGTTCGAGCTTTAAGCTACTGTGTTCTGTTCTGCATCCAACTTTGAGCGCTGTGTTTCATTTCACGTCCACATTTGAGCCATGTTTTGTTCTGTATTCTGTTCTGCATCTGGGTTTGAGCTTTCATTTGTTTTGTTTTGCTTCAGTGTGTTTGTGCTCTGTGCTTGCACATGTTTTGTGAGTTGGTGTGTTTGGCATTACTCCATTGTGTTTGTGCAGTTCTTCCATGTTCGAGTTCTATGCATTGCCTGTGTTTATTGTGCCATTTTGTTTGTTAATGGTTACTTTAATTTGTGATTCTTGGCACTTACCCATGGAGATTCTGATGGGGTAATATTAGTGTATAACCATAAACTAGAAAAACTGAACTCCACATTTGTCTGCATCAGAATATGGATGTTCATTGCATTCTTGTTTTTATATTTTTCCCTCAATCTCTGCATGAGTTGTGTTTAGTTTTGGTTTAATTGTTCTTCTATTAGTATTATGTGATTTAGGAGCTTATATATATTAGAAACTCCTGTCTGATATGCTGATTCATGTATTTTGGTTAATTTATAGGTTATTATTATTATTATTATTATCATCGAAATTGATTTGTTATTATGAATTTATGATGTTAAGAGTTTGTGATGTATGCCTTGTTGTAATGTATTATTACATGTTTTAATAACATATATTTGTTTTGAAGGCGTTTGAACATAAGGAGATTACCTTCAAGATTTGAATCTGTTTGTTTGCTGAGTTGTTGGTTTAACTTTATTGCTATTTTCTGGGAGTTTTTATGTTCTCTTTCTCTCAAATTTAGTTGTTCCATGTTTGTTAGTTACTGTGTTGAATTTTATCTTCAAGATTTTTCCCGCCAATTGAATTGTTCAAGCCTTCTCAAATTTTGAAATTGTGGGATTTTACTTTTCAAGTCTCGATTTTAAATACTGTGTTTGTTGGTCATTTTGCCTTGACTTTGTTTAATAACTACTAACTTGATAGCTCGTGCCTATTAAATAATAGCTGTATTTTAAATTTTGGTATTTTGATTTAATGACATCATGTGATCCATATAGCCAATTTCACCTAGTGGGATAAGGTTTGGTGGTGGTGGTGGTTGTTTAATATTGCTTAGAATATGTTGAAATTGACCCTTTGATGTGACTTTTTCCTTAAACAGTTACAAAAATGCCAAAAGTAAAGACAAACCGTGTTAAGTACCCTGAGGGATGGGAATTAATTGAGCCTACACTCCGTGAACTACAAGCAAAGATGAGGGAAGGTTGGAATTTTACACGTTGCACTTGCCTTACTAGATATTTTTACCTCCTTTTTCTTAAACCAATGAAAGTAATGGTTTTATATCCTTTATGTGGCAGCTGAGAATGATCCACATGATGGCAAAAGAAAATGTGAGACATTATGGCCTATATTTAAAATTGCACACCAGAAGAGCCGCTACATATTTGACCTCTACCATCGGAGGAAGGAAATTTCTAAAGAACTGTATGAATTCTGTCTGGATCAAGGATATGCTGACCGCAATCTAATTGCTAAATGGAAGAAGGTACCTGACTAAACTATTTTATTCTATTTTGAAACTGCCATTTTTCTATTTCTTTTTCCATATAGGACAAGGGAGTTCTTTAATAAGAAAAGAAAAGTGCAACTAGAAGGAAGATCAGAAATCCTCCAGTTAACGTAAGATAAAAAAAGATTCTCTTAAACAGATATGATTAAAGGCAATAAAAAGAGCCCAAAGCAGGGTGTAAGATCTATGAATTTGCAACAAATCATTTGTATTAATCATGATAAGTATCACTCTCCTAATAAAGGACTTGGCCTTTGGGAGAGGATTGGATTTTAAAATGGATTTATCAGGGAGAAATCTTTTAAGGGTTATGTCAGTGAGTATGGAACTGAAAGAAAGTTTTGCAGGAAAAAAGACTGGAGAAGTCCATGGTTTGCAAACTCTTCTATAAAAATTGGTCGAGTTGAGACTTGAGAGAGATATAGAATATAGATTCAATTCAAACCAAAAGGGATTGTAGTTTACTTTATTATCCATATTCATATCTCTGTAAATTAAAGTCCCTGTTTCAACAATGATCTTAGATTCTTAGTCTTAGATTTGATTCAATAGAAATGGCTATTGGGCAAACTATGTAATGTGGAGAGATGAAACATGCTGGCCCATCCAAACTTCCTCTCAGAACTTGATAAGGATACTATCACCCAAAAATTTGAAATATACTACTGGAAAATAATCTTCCAACTCAAAGAACTGTAATCAGCAGTGTTGCTCACTTGGTTAGCATTCCACCTGTTCTAATGGGCTGTACTTGTTGCCACATAGAAATAGTCTCCAAAGGAACGTACCAAATTCATTTAACTGCCAAAGCTAGTTATTTAACTGCTGAAGCAATGTTTTTATGTTTAAATGCCAAATTACCAAGCCCTAATCCCCCTCCATTTTAGTTCTACAATGAACCTCTCAACCAAGAACTAGCAGAATGATTTCTTCTCTGTTCATGCCCTGCTGATCAACGTAAATGCATTTATCTATCTTTGGGTCACTTTGCATTTTTGATAAGCAAGGGTAATTAACCAAACAAATTTGGATAAGAATAGTCCAAGTCCAATCAATCACTTAGCAAATGCTTAGAAATAATCATTAGGACCCCTGAAGGAAATTTGAGAACTACTCAAAGAAACTGCCAAGAGTGGGGCAGAAAGAACCTAATCATCCACATTGACAAGTGTCATTTCCTTCCTCTAGAAATAGCAGCAGATCATCATTAGTAAGGTTGGAGATCACAACCTAATTAACTTCTCACTGTCCTCCAATCTAAGATTTAAGATCAACATTCACAAACAAAGAAAGTAGCAATTGAGAGGCATCTAGGCACGCATCTTCTCCACTACACTGACTTTCTATCAGCAATCATGTCTTGACCAACTCACTCTTTCTTAAGCTTTTTCAAAGTCCAGTTTGATCACCAAACTCCCTCTTTTTCTGGTATCTTCCACCACCTTTTTAGCAATAAAAGCAGCATATAAAAATTTTCGTCCTGCAATAAAAGCAGTCTGATTTTCTGAAATGATAATTGGTAAGATTGCTCATTTTCATTGAAAGGATTTTGGTAGTGAACTTAAAGTATTCCAATGACCAGGAGAATCCCTTGTGCTCAAAATTCATTGTAATTTCTATTCTTCATCTTAATGATTTTCTTCTTTGCTAAACATGAAATAAACAAACTTGTGAGTAGTGTGCTCCAGAACTGCCTCTGTTCTAAATTTTTCCCCCTCTATATGTTGTGTAATCTTCCCTTTGATTGTTAATGATGACTGCCTTCAATTTTTGGGCTTTTTAGCATTGATGTGTGTATATGAGAAAATAATTTATCTTGTATAGCGGCCATCCTGCTCTATTGCTTTTGGGTTGGCTGCTTGCATCATTCTCCAGGATTGACAACTATGAACTCGATACAACTTGATTAGCATATTTAGTGTGATTTTGCATTTACAACACCTAAAATTATGTCTCAAATTTTTTATAATGATTTTGTCATTTGCAAAATTGTTTTGAAAAACATTTGATTTTGTTTCGAACAGAAAAATGTGATTAATGTGGGTGAAAGCTAAACAATAATTACCTTGCATCAAACGCACTTTTAACTAAAATCAACATTACAAAGTCATGATCATCCAAAATTAAGTTTGCAGATGCCTATTCAAACTCACATTTTGTCAGTCTGATATTGATGACTTGTGGAGAAATGAGAAAATATGTTAATGCTGTATTCATTGTGCTTTTTCCAAGATGTTTATTGTTACTTGGTAGCAAAAATCGTTAAAATTATTACCTTATTTTTGTGACTAAGATTTTATTTAATTTGTTCATTCTATGTCCTTTCTTTGATCTGTTTACTTAAATAATTGTTTTTGGTTGGAATTGCAGCCTGGTTATGAACGTCTATGTTGCTTGAGGTGTATGCAGCCACGTGATCACAATTTTGCCACCACTTGTGTTTGCAGAGTTCCCAAGCAACTTAGGGAGGAGAAGGTCATAGAGTGTGTTCATTGTGGTTGCAAAGGTTGTGCTAGTGGGGATTGATTGAACATCAATTCTAGTATTAGTTGCCAATGGAGGGTTTCTTAGAATTAATTTGTGCCTTCAGCTTTCTGTTGCCTGTAACCCTAACCATGGGGCACAACTTCTCCATGTTGTATTGCCGTCTATTAACTTCATGAGTTCGATATATTGGGAATGTTAGTTAAGTATTATCTGCCTAGTATGAATCTGACTGGAGTTTGGTACCTTTGCATTGATTCGCGTGACATGGTGTACTTTTGCTCGATATCTCACGGCTTTAAACATTTGGCGTAGAATAATTGAACAAAGGTTAATGCAAACAACTTTGGATGGTACTTTTTCCCCCTTTGTAATGTTTTAAGATTGAAGTCAATACAAATCGCGTTTTATATGTTTCGAAGAGCTAAAGTTGATAAGGAAAAACGTACTTCTGATTAGAGCTATAGACAGTAAGGTATTTCCCTAACTAAAAATAGTAGCGGTATAAGTTCTGGTTAAACCTTTGTTTTGCTCAACCGAAAAAAAAAATGATGGATATTTTGACTGAGGATTAAGAATTTGCATATTTTGAACCAAATTTATTTTAGCAATCGATGAGAAATTTTTTTCAAAGAAATGACTCTAAAAACTGTTTTTAAAGAGACGTTTCAAGAGTTGTATCAATATGTTAAAATCATAATGTCAGCTTCCATTGCATTTTGAGGCATATCAAGTAGATAAGCCAAATATTTGAACTTAGGCTAACCACTTCCCCGGTCTTGTATCATGCAAAGAACTTTGGGTGCCAAGTGATGAAAAAGAGGTTTTTCTTCCAAAAATACCTTGTCAATTTTAAGGTACTAATGCTCTAGATCCATGTATGACTATAGCAACTACTAACATGTTCAGACAAAAAGATTAAGAGCGGCAAGGATGTTGTGCAATAAGTGATATTGCGTTGAAATCTCAGTCAAATGCTAAGCCAGCCTCAGCCCACTGTCAAGGACTCATACTGGTCCGTGGCACGGGTGAACTATGTTTAGCTGTACATTGAAGCAAGAATGTGAAGCATTAAACCATAACCCACTATACAAATTACTTGCACTTAAATAAGACGTGCTCCAACACATTGAATGTATTGGCTATAGACAAAAGAACTAGGTGCCAGACAGCTTACAGGAGAACAAGATCATAGCCTCACCCTACCACTAAACATTCAGCAGAAACAACCCTTATATCTCAAAATCTAGTCATCAACCTTGTGAGCATCATTGCTTGATGTGAAGCCCATCTAGCCATCTCCTCCATAAAACGTTTGGCTGATAGTATAGTGTGTCTTGTGTAATATTACAAACTCAGTCTGCAGCCAAAGAAAAATAAGAGAAAAGAAAGGGATTTTATAACTTCAGAGATAAATATTCACTAAAAAAAAAAAACCAACTCACGATGTTAGAACATTAGAATTACAAAGGAAATGTTTAGCAGATATTACAAACAAGAAATATTCAATTAACCCAAGCATTGCTGAATTCTTTATGGTCTTCCCTCATACATAGGATATAGCTAAATTAGGGCATAAAGTGATTTTAATCTGCAAATAAAGAACCTTGAAGTCAAACTGTTATTTTAAATGAGGAAAAACTATCATGGATTGCTCGGTCAAGCTAAAGTTATTATACATACGTAGGTATATACATACATACATATATATATATATATATATATATATATATAATGCGAGAGAGAGATATGAAAGGTGTGGAGGATAAATATTGACCATATAACCATAGATGGACAATTAAAATTAAAAATTTTGTAATTGTTACGCGATCACTTTTTAAATGCCAAATGACTTGATATTTTAATCGTAACCAATCATGATTAGATCTAATGGTTAAGATTTATCCTTCTCACTCTCACATCAAATTCATTGCATTTGATACATCTATTGTGTGTGCTTGAGATCCATTATACGGATGCTTACGTCCCTTTCTACAATTATCTCGTTCATTTGTTGCACATAAACAGAATCCATTTGACAAATGTATAAACATTTAGCAATTACATGATTTCTTACATATATTCAATTTACGATTTACCCTTCTAAAACGTATGCTGTCAATTATCATTTCCTAGCCATATTGGTAGGCTTATCCTACATGTTATGGGGCAACAATACATCCTAAAGTAACTTGCTTCATTGTTAAACTTTCTTAAAGGCAAATATATAGTAAAAAATATAATTCAATTCCACAAAAATGCAAAGGATGAAGCCTAATTTCTATTTATACTAAGATATGTATATCATAAAAAATGTGCAAGCAGAGGTTAAAATACTTACCACTAACGTATCAAGGAGCAACTCTTTTAAAACCTTGAGATGTTTGGTGGATGCTAAAGAATGATTTATATTTAACCGTCCCACTCAACAATAGCTTTTTGAGCTTAAAGTGTGGTCTAGGATCAAACTCATAACTACTTATTTATATGGGTTGTGATACCATGTTAAGGACCACTCTTGTGATCCCGTAAGTTGTCAGGTGGCAGTTGAATGTCAATGGTTTTGTATATTTAACAAAAGGTAAGTTCCGAAGCCTATGAGAGTCCCAACTTCATGTCCTATATAGATGGATGAATTGAGAGGTTGGATTTTAATAAATGTCTAGTGAAACTCTTGAAATGTGTTATCTTTTAGGAAACATAAATTCTCGAATTCTAGTGTCTCCTTCATTAGTAGATAAGTAGTTGATAATCATTTCTGTGGTGGCAGCATCTACTGAAAAACCTTTGTCCATCATTATTTTAAGGTATTTAATTGACCCTGCAATCTCCTTTTTAGTCAGCAAGCCCTGGACAAAGACATTGTAAGTGCAGCTATTTGGCAAGCAGCCATTCTCTTCCATATTCATCAGAAAATCTTCAGCTTTATTCAACAGTCCTTGTTTACAGAGACCTTTAATCATAATGGTATAAGCATAAACATTAAGTTGCAGACCTTTAGCAGGCAAACTAGAAAACAGTTCCCAGGCAGCATTCAGTTTTCCAGCACTGCACATTCCATCAAGCAAAATACTGTAAATCACTATATTAAGATCCAAAGTACTCTTCTCCATTGCCTCAACCAATGATACTGCCTCAGAAAGAAGATTGGCTTTACATAGGCCATCCAATATAACGGCACAAGTCTGGAGATTGGGAACTTGACCATATTTGTGCATATTAAAAAACAGTTCTTCGGCAGCTAATGGTCTACCTGCTTGACAAAACCCATCTATGAGAGTGGTCCAAGTGACAACATCAGGAATGAATCCCATCTTAGCCATCTCATCCAAGAGCTGCATGGCCTTGTTAATGTTTTTAATCTTACACCATCCGTGAATAAGTGAAGTATACAATACGATGTCTGGTAAGCAGCTCCTGGCAACCATTAAATTAAATACTCTCATGGCCTCGTTCATTTGATTTTGCAAACAATACAAATGAATCAACGAATTATATGTGAAAATATCTGGCCCATCCCCCGTCAGAATCATAAATCCAATTACACTTTTTGCCTGCATCAACTTTCCTTCTTTGCAGAAAGCATCCACTAAAATATTGAGCGTTTGCAAATCTGGCATCATTCCTTTTTTCATCATCTCATCCAGCAGAGAACCAGCTTCTTTCCATCTTCCAAAATTGCAAAGACCTTGAATCAAGCAAGTATAAGTGACAAGATTAGGCTGAATACCTTTGCAACTCATTTCCAAGCACAAATTTAACGCCTCGGATATCAATCCATCCTTGCACAAACTATCCATAATTGTACTATAAACTACCACATTAGCTGTCCGATTTCTCTCTTCCATTTTCCTTAGCCATCCAACAGCAGCAGAAGTGTCTCCCATCTTACACAACCCATTAATCAACACCCCATTAGTGTAAACATCTAATGGATAACCCATCTTTTCCATATGACCAGCCAAAACCACTGCCTGAGCCACATCGCCGTGCACACAAAGCCCATTAAGGAGAGTGGTAAGAGTTATCACAGAGGGCTCCAAACCAAGTTTGAACATTGTCCCCAAAACTGAGAACCCAAAAGCAATCAACTTCAAACGGCAAAGACAATTAATCACAATATTAAGAGTAATGGTATCAGCATCTATACCCAGAGAAGAATGCATATATTTAACTAAAGATATGGCAGTGGTGTAATGCTTCATCCTCACAATAACCCCCAACAACGAAGTAAAGTCCATCACAGAAGGCAAAGGCTTCATTCTAGCCATGCCATGAAAAAAGTCCAAAGCTTTATCAACATTTTTTAGTTTACCCGACTTGCATAGGTTTCTCATGGAAATTAAGAAGTGGATTCTGTTGCTATCCCTCTCAATGTTTGTGTCAGTGACTGTGGAGCAATAACAGTACATTGAAAGAGAGAAAGAGGAACGTGAGGAGTGAATGGAAAGGGAATAAGAGAGGGTACCCATTCGATGAAGACGACGAAAACGAGAAAGAAAGGCTATTCTTCGCAGCATTCAAACAGACACTTCTGTGTCAGAAACAACATGCTATTGCTCCGTTCAAAGTTCCACCTCTGGTAAGGGTTTAAGGTATAACGTTGAATAATGGTGGCTACAACATTATGAAGGCAAAACTATTCCTTGCTCCTCTAATTTTATTTTTCATTTTAATTTAATATTTTATTTTTTTATTACTTCTATATATATTTTGTTTTAATTTGTTTTTTAATATTTAATTTGGTCTTTTAACTTCATGTCAGAAGATTAAAGGATTAATATAAAATAAAATAAAAATAAAATTCAAGGACCAATATATATATATATATATATATATATTGAAAGTACAAAACCAATATAAAATAAAAGTGCAGATAAAGTTTGTGTTTTATTTTTAATAAAACATATTTTTATTAGGAATATTTTAAAATATAATAATGATATCAATTATCAAATAAATAAACTTAAAAATAGTGGTTATTGAATATACTTTTTGCAAATTGTAGTGCTTGGTGAATATTCTTTCGTATTCTTTAATAAAATTATAATATTAGCAATTGAAATTAAATTTTAGAACATTTTTTTGGTAATAACTTAATTAAATAATATAATGAGATAAAATAAACAATTATTTTCTTAAACTAAAAAAACAAAATAAAAAAAATAACTTATAAACAAATGTCACCTTCGTCTATTATAAAGCATATATTTTTTTAAGTAATAATAATAATAACAATAATAATAAATAAATAAAGAAATAAATAAATAAATAAATAATTATTAAATTGCATACTATATATACTCTTACACATTATCAGTGATTTAATATAATTCTTTATCAATCCATCCATTGAAATATCATCATTATATTAATTATTTATGTTAAATTTATTAAAATTAAATAATTATAACTATATAAATAAATTGTTTTTATTTTTATATATTTTGAAAATGCAAATTATAATATATATATATATATATATAAATGAAGTATAAAAAAATAAAATTAATCTAAAATTTTATAAACATAATATATAGGAATAAAATTTTTAATTTAATGGTCAAGTTTAATAATAAATTATTTGATAAAAAATATTAAATAGTATAAAAATAAATATAATTTATATGAGTATGATTTGATTTTTTATAATAATAATAATATTATAATAAACTAAAAAATATTAAAAATATAATAAAAATACAGTAAAAAGTGTTTTAGTTCTCGAGTTTTTATAATTTAGTTTGGAATAATTATATGATATTGTAATTTTTTATTAATAGTGCCTTAATTGACGAAAATAGGTTTAATATAAAGGATTGGCCTCTCATATGATTATTAATTATTATTTAATTTTTTATAATTGAAATTAAATTTTTAATTTATTTTATTTTCTTTAACAATTTTTTTATATGTATAGTTAAAAAAATATTGCCAACATGAAAAAATGATTTACTTATCAGGATATAGAGTTGAGAAAAAACGGTAAAATCATAATTTCATGATAAAATATAAAATTTAAATTAAATTAAAAATTTTTAAATCAATTCAATTAAACTTAATACATGCATAATACACAAAAAAATAAATTAAACTTATTATTTTACAATCTTGTTTTTTTTAAGCTCGTTATTTGTATTAAAGCAAAACTAATGAGTTACACAAACACGAATCATTTTATCATCTCTACCGAGCCATCACCTATTTATAGGATTATTCTCAAACAAATTATAATTAATTGCATACTTACAATGCTATATAATGTATTACTGTTGATATCATCATTCTTATATTAGTATTTACAAAAATCATAATATTTTAATATTTAACTTTTCGTTAATGGATTGAAATATCTTTATATTCAGAATTTATCATTAATAAACTGTCGATGTTTAAAAAAAATATTTCGTTAAATTATTTTATAAATAAGGAAAATAATAATTTTTGTCGTATAAATAAAAGGCCTAATAATAAAAACAAAAAAATACAAATTTGTTTACATCAATTTCATAGCAGAACCACAGAACAAGCACGCGCTGCCTGGAACGGGAGAGAGGGAGGGTTCCGGTTGCCGTAACTGTAAGTTGTGGAAACTTTTCTTATTCATTTTTCCTATGCCTTCTTCTTTGTTCTACAAATTCAAGTTTTAGTGTTTTCAACGGAAACCCTTTTTGCTTATGCCTTCAATGTTCCGCTTTTCGAAATTTGTCATTCGCGATTTCTCATTCTCCGTTTCTTTATTTTTGTAATTTTTTTTCTTGCAATCGCTTCCTTTTACTTTGGATTTCATCTGAAATTATCTGTTACTGAATGCATGTTTCACTTGCTATTCAACTATGTAAAATAGGGTTTGGAGGAGGAATAAAACCAAAACTAGTTCTTTTTCTGGTGGGGTTCAATTGAGGAAGAACAATGTCGGTGACAGCAGGGGTTAGTGATACAGTAATAGCGATTAGGGATAAACTCAGAGGTAAAATTGGGCAAACAAAAGTTAAGCGTTATTGGCCAGGTAAAGTTCCTGAATGGGCCGATGATGAGAACGAAGAACTTGCCGACATTAGACCCTCCAGGGAAGCTGCTTTGGAGAAAGTGTTTCCTCGTCATGAAGAAGATACTGCTATTGTTAGAAAGGATGATCGTAGGCTCCGCCGTTTGGCTGAGAGCCGAATCGATAACCGTGAGGAAGTCCGAGCCGATCATCGTCGCATTCGGCAGGCTGAGATTGTTTCCACCATTGAAGAGGAGGCCAGGAGGCAGGAATGGTTGGAGATAGAGGAAGAAGATGAGAATGCTTTGGCAGAAAGAAGAAGACTTATTAAAGAGAAGTTGCTCCAAAGGGAGCAGGAAGAGGCACTTCCTCAGGAAGAGGAGGAGGAGGAGGAAGAAGAAGAGGAAGAGGAGGAATCTGAGTATGAGACTGACTCTGATGAGGAATACACGGGGGTAGCTATGGTGAAGCCTGTGTTTGTTCCCAAGTCTGAGAGAGATACTATTGCTGAGCGCGAGCGTCTTGAAGCTGAGGAGCGGGCCCTTGAGGAAGCAAGGAAAAGGCGATTGGAGGAAAGGAGGATTGAAACAAAGCAGATTGTTGTTGAGGAGATCCGGAAGGATGAAGAAATCCAGAAAAACTTGGAGTTGGAGGCGAACATTGCTGATGTGGATACTGATGATGAAGTCAACGAGGCAGAAGAATATGAAGCTTGGAAAGTGAGAGAGATTGGGAGGATCAAGAGGGATAGGGAGGATCGGGAGGCAATGTTGAAGGAAAAGGAAGAGATTGAGAAGGTGAGAAACATGACAGAGGAGGAGAGGAGAGAGTGGGAAAGGAAGAATCCCAAACCAGCTCCACCACCAAAGCAGAAATGGAAATTTATGCAGAAATATTATCACAAGGGTGCTTTCTTTCAATCTGAATCTGATGACCGAGCTGCTACTTTTGGATCTGATGGTATTTACACACGTGATTTCTCTGCCCCAACTGGTGAGGATAAAATGGATAAGACAATATTACCCAAGGTTATGCAAGTCAAGCACTTTGGTCGTAGTGGAAGAACTAAGTGGACCCATCTTGTCAATGAAGACACTACTGATTGGAACAACCCGTAAGTTCAATTTTCTTTAAGTTCTCTATCTTTCTAGAATAGTGGCAGATTATTTAATTGATATTAATTTTCTGTTGTTTTATTCCAAGAAAAAAAATATGTATTGCTTATCTGTTCACCTTACTTCTGAACTTCATCTGCTATGATACTGGTCCAAAATGGTCTTGGACATTACCTATACATTCTTAGAATGAAATTGAGAAGCTCAGGTCAGAATTGAGATGTTCGTTTGTGATTTCTTTTTCTATTGTGATCTAGAAAATTGTGCTGCTTATTAGTCATCAAATAGAAGAGTGAGATGTAGTATTTATAGGAAGAGTGATTTTGTTTATAAGGAATTTGATTATGGTTGAGATCTGGGTTAAAGAGGGAGAGTTGATTGGATTTGGAAGGAATGCAGTTGAGAAGCTTATTTCATTTAGAGTAAGCATAATTATTCTGTCTCTCAAGTCCTATTTTATTTTTAGGCCTTCATTTTTGTAGAATATGTACCTGACTTGAAGTTCACAACTTTGCTAGACATTCACATCTTCTCTTTCTGTGCTTTTGTGGTTAATATTTCTTTTGTGAACTTAGCTGGGGAGTAAGAAGGGATCATGTTGCATACCACAATTTAAATGAGTTGTTTATTGGCAGCCCTTGTTTTTATCCAAAGTATTTATCTCCATATATCACCAAATTTCCTTGGTCTAAACTACAGCTAATACTTGATGCTTGAGTATGTTCTTCCCTGATCTTCACAGTTCACGCACAAGACTAAGTTGGTTCTTACATTATAGTATGTTCACAAATTGTTGGTTGTTCTGTTCTTGGTTGGACAGAGCCTAAACTATATCATTTTTAAAAAATATATTTGATCTTATGAATCAGTAGCTTATAAATATCTGCTTCTTGTATGTTAGTGCATGATAGTGTAGTACACTTACTGTTTAGATTCTAGAACTTTCAGCTATAACATTACAAACTTCCTGTTTGTTAACAGAATGTGACAGTTAGACACCTAGGATTAGTTAAACTATTTAATACCTGATTATAAACATTCAGTATTATCAATTCAATACACTAAGAGTCAAAACATTTCTTTCTCTCTCTTCTCTATTTCTCTCGGGTTCTGGTTTTCAACATTGTATAATGCAGTTACCCATTTGTCCATCCCAGTTAGATCTATGATTTGTACTGATTCATAAATTTCTCATAACAGTCTTGTAATTGATGATGGTGATGATTACTTTATTCTTAAGCATCATTTTCATCATCATGGGTCTTTTATGATGGATTATTAACACTACATTAATAGGGATTTGAAGAAGTCTACATAGCAATTTTGTGTGTTTAACTCTTTATAACACATTTTGTTTGAAAGATGTGCCTCTCTTGGTACAGGTGAACACCTACCCTTTTTTTCCCCTTTCATCTGGACACCAAGTGACCTTAGGCTTTGTTTTGGCAATATAATGTTAAATAGAAATATGATTTTTTAGAGTATTTGAAATGCCGTATTAATGTACTGTGTTTTCGATATTTAATAATTTTTTTTTTAGAAATTCAGTATTTTGACTGGCCATCCATTTACGCATGGAAACTACGAATTTGGAGTTACACATACATTAGTGAAATTTCTGAAATCCCTCTATACTCTTTACCCATTGTCCCTTACCTTGTATCCCTGGTCAGCCCTCAAACACCTTTGTGGAGAAGAAATTTTTACGTGCTCTGACCTGAAAGTTTTACTCATGTCCGCTAAAAACAACATACACGGCAAAACAGAACCATACATACTTTTGGATTTAAATATTATATAATAAAATTCAGATCACATCTACACTATTGATAATATTACTCTCAGAGTAAATTAGTATTTTCCTTCTTGTTCTTGCATCCACACTTTCCAGTAACTGTGTAGCTGAGAGGGGTGAAGATTGCAGATTCTTCATCCACCTAAGTTGTGCAACTGTGTTAATCCATTCTTTGTTCTGAATGTTCAATTGGATCTCACTTTGATTTCTGAATCAAGAAATGGCATGGAAGAAATTTTTTATGTCTACTCTGTGTCCTAAATGTTCAAGTAGATCTCACTTTGATGTGCTCTTGAAAGAGAGCTTGCTATTGCATTAACTTATCTGAAGATATGAATGAGTTTGGTTTGAATAAAATTTGTTAACACTGACATGCACAATAGCACAGTAATGCTGTATTATGAGAGTTGATGTAACCTTATGATGTTAATAGAAATAGTCAGAGTTAACTTCTACTTGATGATTGAACCCTGTACGATTTGCTGCTGTAAGAAATGAGATGGTGTTATAGAAGTGCATGCTTGGTCTTGATAATATGGTTTACTGATATATTGACAGAAGTACATGCTCACAAGTCATGGTCATTTGTTTTCATAGTACTTTAAGGTTTCACTTTCATCATTTGCTTGCTTGTAAATTTGTAAGGTTAAAGAGAGTATACTGTACATATAGCATAACATTTTAAAATTATGATTCTATATTAATATTTAGACAAAGGTATATTCTCTGTCTGAAATGCTAGTTTTATTCTGCAGTGTGCCAAATCCGTTTTTGCTTTGGATGTTGATGTAACTTGTTAAACTGATGCAATTACATGTTTTTTTTTTATGGCACCGGCATGCTCATTCTAGGTTGACAGGCCTGCAGTCCTGTTATAACATATTGATAAGCATCTTTGGAATGATGGGCTGTAGTATGTTTAGGTAGTATTCACTGCATTGTCAAAGAAATTTATGCATCGACACATGTTTATTTTTCCGGGTTCATGTTGAAGTTGTAGTATTAGTATTAGAAGATTCTATGATCCATGTAGCTAACCTTGGTTTTTGTTATTAAAGTAAAATGGCTTCTGGGATTTGTTAATACATTGATAATAGGAATTCATTTTGCTTACCATGCAACTAACCTCCAGTTCCCCTGGAAAAAAAAAGGGGTTTCTTTAGTTATACTTGGATATTAACTGCTTTAGCATTGTGCACTGATGTTCTTGTTATTGTTGAATTTTAATACAGATGGACTTACAATGATCCTCTTCGTGCAAAGTATAATGACAAAATGGCAGCAATGAATGCGCCTATAACCAAACCTAAAGGAAGCAGAAAATTGAAAGATTGGGAATCTCGATGAATTTGAAGTTGCAGTTGCATGGAGACTTTGTCCTCTCAATTTTAGACTACGGATAAATACCAGATTCGATATGTAATTATCCTATATATGCTTGTGTTCTCTCTCAAACAGAACGTAAAGTAGTTCATCATGACTCAAGCATGTATGTTAAGGATCATGAAGACAGTTCTTGCAGATTGTGATAGGAATTCATGACTAATTTATCCGAATATAGTTCCCCCGTTAATGAATCATATCTGATTACGAGTCCTAATATCTTTAAGCGCTTAGGCTATGACTCCCTGTCTTTGGCTTGTCATAATTTACTGTGTTACTGGCTGGCTTATGAAGAATTTATCGAGTTTGCTGCCTATATTGATGCTTCGGGAGCCACCGTTTTTCAATTATGATAATTTATATGTGCAACTTCTTTGATACTGATTGGATCTTCCTGGAGTGACACTACACTAGTAAATAATCTTCTAGCTGAACAAAGGGGCATATTGACAGTTTATTTATATTTAACCCGGTGCTTGTTTGTTTATAGGAGTTACTTTAATTAATTTGTATTTTATTTTAATAAAAAAATTGAGGGTAAAATTCTTTTTTTCTAAATACACGTTGTCAGGTGGATTAATTTATAAATGTTAATCCAAACATTATGTGAAAGATGTGACAATTATCTGAAAGGTAAAAAGACATTATTTTTGTTCCGAAATGCACGTTGAGGGTAAAATACTTTAATTAATTTATATTAGACTCTTGACAGTTACTGAACCATCGTCACATTTTATTTGTAATCGATAGCTTCATACTATATTCACTTAAATCCTATAAATGTATTTCAAGTTTTTCTTAGGTGGGTATAATATATTGCAATTAATGGTTGATTGTCTACATTTATAATATTCTGTTTTATATGGCAATCATGCCTTTTGGTTGCATTATATACATTACAAAAGCATTGCTCCCTCCCCTCCAAAATAAAAAGGAAAAATCAAATTTCATCTAATGGAACAAAGAGGAAGAGTTGAGGATTAAATGAAATGGTTTATTAATACAATCATAGCAATTGATCTTTGTTAGTATATTTAATCTGCGCACAGTAGTGTGACATTCACTTATTCAGTACCAAGTACCGACTGCCACAGATAAGAACTCTTCCTCCTGAGTACTGGTTATTAGAGAACTTTTTGAAAATTTTCATATAATTTCAAATTCATAAGTTCCCATAAAATTTAATGAACAGATGGATCATGTAAAGACGATGATGCATCAGCAACCATAAAGATCTTTGCATGAGGATGCAGTCAAGAGTCAGACCTACAACGATAATACTTAGAGCAGCCTCTATTTTGAGGATTTGAGGGGGGTGGAAGACACCCTCCAGTTTTACTATAAGCTTCACCAGAGGCACCACCATTACAAACTGGCTTGTCTCTCTTTAAAGCTCCATTGGAAATGTATCTCTTCTGCTCCAAAAACCTTCTGCTTATTTCTGATTCCATCAGCAGCTCATCCTCTATATTGCATTCTGCTATGGAACCATTGCATGTGCTTGCATGACTGGTCCATGAGATCACAGTGCAGCTGCAGAAATGCATAAAGCTGAAGAGCATCAAGTAGCAGCAGCTCATAAGTCTAATGGTGGATGATTTTGAGGCCATTCTTCTATTCTGCGTCTTGGATGTACCCTTCCCTTCCACTCAGAAGCACTATATAGAGAATGCATATTTGACACCACCTTTTAGAAAAAGGTGCAAGTGGAGACTGCTTTAGTGATAAGTTGATGGAGCGCACTTCACCAAACTTTTTGGACGATATGGAAATTATGTTATTTTTCATGTGCTACAGATGATTTTCTTTCTTTCTTTTCTGTGAAGAATAATGATTTACTCTGTTAATAAATAATAAGTTGTTTTATATGTTTGAGATAACTCTGCTGAGTTGGTTCTCGGAAGATAAAATTCTAATATGTCCGGCGTATATTATATGGTATATATAGACTAGGTCAAATACAGACTGTTTGAAGAAGTAATACAATAGGAATTGCTTTCATCAGTAATCATTTACAAGTAAAATACCACTCAGTAAACTATCCAATTAGGGAAATTCTAATTCCAAACCAAATAATGCATACTCCTATCTCATATTAGATGTCTTCTAGTACTAATGCACACATTAAGAAAAATGTTACTTTTACCAATTACTATGATTAAAAAAATTAATTTCATTAGAACCCCCCAATTAAAAGTGTTGAAATTATTGTAGTAATCAGGTAAAGTTATTTTAGTTGTTAGTTGGCAAAAACTATCCTTAATAAATAAGGATATTGTTGTAAAAAGTAAGAAATGCTTTCTTGATTCTAAAGTGACAAATAATTTAAGACAAATAAAAAGTAATCAGATGACATTTAATATGAGATGGAAGAAGTATTTATTTGTAAAAAACATATTTATAGAAAACATGTGGTTGGTTATGTGGCATATGATGATAATTTTATTGGTTCTTATTATTGTCCCTTCTACGGTAAAATCCAAGGCCATAAAAATTTGTGCAAAGCGAATAAAAAAGTGAGGGGGAGTAAATAGTTATTTAACTGTTTCTGCTAAATTTCTTATTTGAGCCCTTATGTACATTGAAGAAAGCATACATGAATTAAAAGTGGCGTTAGGTAAATAGGATTATAGGAAGGGGATTATCATGACAAGGGAAACAGGAGAGAGGAGAAATACAGGTGTGTTGATGTAATCATACGTCTAAAATATTTGGTATTTTCCACATAGTTGCCCCACCTAAACTCCACTCTTTATCAGACATTGGACCTTGAAATACACTTGATTGGTGGGGTCATGGATTTCCTTTGACTCTAATAAAGCAAGGGCATAACTTGAGTTCTTTTCACACCAATCTCAAATTGTTGCAATCATGGAACTTGCAAAGCCAATTTGATGGAACTATTGATTGATTGTGTTAATTAGGGTTGGTTCCAGTCATTTTCTACCCATATTATTTTAGTTTAGTTATATAAAGTGGCATGCACTGCAAAGGTTTGAATCTGTACATCTTGCATGGCATTCCTGGAAGCATTCTCATCAATAATTTGAACCAGTTTGTTTCAACCTGATACTATGTGGCCGTGACTCAGTTGAGGGCAATAACATGAAAATTACAATTGGTCAATTACACCTATAACCTATTTAACATCAGGACAAATACAGGCTTAGTTGATATTTATTTTGTAGGTCCTAATTTTCATATTTGTTTTGCACAGTGGGACACAATGGTTGGATGTAGGGTTCACTCCACTGCACAAAATAGATTTTGACTGTTGATCCACAAAATAATGACGAATATACGTAAAATTTCCCTCATGGCACACATTTGTGGGATGACAAAAGAAGCTAGATGTTCTAACAATTTCTCTTAGCTTCAAAGCAAGATATTGGAACCCATGTTACTACACAGATTATGATTTGTGCCTGTAGTATTGTCAAGTGTTTTCAGACCAGATCAATCATCATAGTATAAATAAGTATAAAACATAAAAATGATGTATATTGCTCTTGGTAGCTTCCTTAGTAATGTACTTGTTTACATTATCATGATTTTGAAATTTTTGAGACTCCATTTTCCAGCCTTCAACTAAAAGCTTACTGCTGCATTCTTCACAAATCATTGCATTTTGTGGTACTTATTTTGGTGTTACGTCTGTGTCCATTTTATGGTACTATGTTCATCACCTTCAAATTCTTGTTTTAGTATACAACTTTTTTTTTAAAAGCTAGAAAGTGGAATCTCTAATTATGTGGTTTATTCTCTCATTTATTATTTCTTATGTATTGTTTACATAGCTGTTATAGACTTATAGCATGATTGCAGTTAGACAAAAGTAGCAAAATCTTTTGACAGGAAGAAGAACTTTGTTTTAACGGCATCGTATGCTCATGGTAGTTGACCTCATGTAGTAGAATAAGGCTTGGTTGTTGTTGTTGCCCAATGGATACAATAAGAAATTAAAAAATAGTAAGATTTTAATAAAAATTGTATCATTTAATATTATTGTGTCATTTTCAATGCATTAGAGATCAACAAAATTAGATATATTATTTTTTTTCTTTGAACTTAAATCTTCTCCCTTGTTGATGCTCAATGAGAATATTTGCAGCATATAATTCTTAATTTATGATTGACACTATTGCTGCATGGATTAGTTTTTCATCCAAATAATCGGGTTGAATTGTGATTTGAAATGCAGTTAAATTGGAACAAGCAGTGTAAAAGCTGCATCACATTTATGAAGTGACTATTAATCATAAAATCCCAAGTAGGGCCATTAATCTATGATGTTATACTATTGATTTTCCAGAACCGTAGAAATGAGTTTTGAAGGTGAGCAGGGTTTATTTCACAGAGAACTTTGTTCAGGAAGATGTAAATGAACAAGTATTGAAAAACTACTTGAAAGATAACTTATTACAATGCAACCATTATACATCTGCTGCTATTCTTTATAACATTGATCCACCTCTATTCACATGGATATTGTTTGTCGCTTTACCTAAGCCGCATAGCTATTAAATCCATATTTCTGAAGTGCAGTCACCACCAGGATATCTCATCTCATGGGCAAGGCAGGGACCTCCAGGCTCATCTCCAAAGTCAACAAAGAAGTTGGGGTTAATTTTCAGACCACCATTTTCGGTATCAACATCAATCTGCAACATGTGGGATCCTTTCTCTACAAGCTCTGGATAAAATTGTTTATCCCATGCACTAAAGAGTGAGTTTGTAACATATAGACGCTTCCCGTCCAAACTCAATTGAGTCATTTGAGGGCCTCCTCTCAACTTATTTCCCTGGAAAGCAAATTAACTCTTCAGCCACTAAGGGTCACATTTATGCATCAGACACAATGTTGGTAATTCGAATATAACTGAGTAAAGAATATGCATAAAAATGGGATGAATGCCCTTGCCAACTTAGACATCAGGACTAACTTTCTGGAGACAATATGACAATGCAGAGGTAACGATGCTGGGCAGTGACAATACAATAAGGTCCATGTCTTGTACATCTAACAAGAATTACTATTTCAAAAGTTAAACAGCACTAACCTTAATGTCTGGAACATCAGATTGCCAAGTATTACCATCTTCTGTTACAGCTACTACAGGGCTTCCTTTCTGAAGTAGCCCCCCAACCCACACTTGGCTAGTCAGTACAGGATTTTGAGGGTCCTCGATGTTATATTGTCTTATATCACCATGTAGCCAATTCACAAAGTACAGAAACCGATCATCAAGAGATATCAGAAAATCAGTTATAAGCCCGGGCATTTCTGGAAGAATCCAGTTTTGCACTTTCAATGGCTTCACTGATATTGCAACCTGCAAAGTCATTCTAGTCTGTAAGTATTATTGATCAATAAGCCTTTGTTGAAGGAAGCACAGAAACCAACCAGATGACAACACAATTACGTCTATGGATATCCATTTTCTGTACCTCATGGCTCCACGACTCATCCTCAGTCCTGAAAAACCGTACCATGTTACTTGACAATGCACATCCAACGAAACCTGTATCTTTAGAAGGATCGTGCAGAAACCTTACCTGCATGTAGGATATATTATTATTAGTTATAAATTATGCCACCTTTCACATAACGCTTCACAGGTGCAAGCTAGATAGAAAGAAGGAATTAAGGATAAATATATTTATCATTAAATCACAAGTATATTTACATAATTACTTCATTTAAAGAAAAAAAAATCAAATATGTGTATTAAAACTGGTGAAAATAACTCCAGATTTATATTTAACAACTTACCTCCAAGGGTAGAAGCCCTGACTGACCAAGGTCCAATGTTTGTCTCAGCTCACCCCCAGGCCAGTTGTATACATGTAGATGTCTCCCATAAAGGCCATCAGAGACATGCTGCAAGTTAAAACCTTTGGTGAAAGCAGCAGGAGCACCCCATGATGAGCTAATCATAGTCTTATGCTGTGGTTGGTACCAGAAGTCAAACCCAAATAACGGACTGTGCCCAGGTTTCTCCCACCTAGTGTATGTGTATCAGGATACATAATAACAATTAGAAATAACGATACTTGAAAATAAGAGACTGAATATTATTGTGTGTATTGCATTTGACCCAAAGGTCTGAATTTATACAAGGATCTATAAATGGAATCCTGTTATTACAATCCTAATTACGGTATTTAAGCAATCCCAATATTATGTTCATAATTAGTATATTTACATATCAACATTCTTAGTGACCGTATTTACATGTCAATAAAACAAAAGATAATCTTGCAAAAATCAGGAAATATTCTCTGAACAATAATCTTGCATAGAATTGTTACTTCCAAAGTTGCAAGGCATATGCCAAGAAATATGCTGCTATAAGGCACTTACATAACGATTCTATACTAAACATTTTGCAAAACTTTTGTCATTTCTAAGTCATGATAAATTGTCAATATGTGATTAGATTTTCACCACTTCCCATGTTGACAGTTAATTTGACTTCAAAAGAGAAATTAAAACTATATCTCACAGTAAATCAGAAACCAAATGCAGGAAAAAATGAATGAGAGTTGGAAATTTAAGAGTATATTGACATCCGATATGAATTCCTGTATTTCTCAATCTATTCTATACAAGTGTACCTTCCTTTCACATTAAATTCTGGATCGAGAAGAAGAAATCCACTTCCTGCTGGATTTCCATCCTTATCTCCAAGAAATGAGATCATTACATCACCAGAAGCAAGGCAATGAGATGTGTGTGCATAAGCTAATCCAGTCTTACTTATGATGTCTTCAGGCTCAACAATTTTGTGCAAAGATGGACGCCTTGGATCTATTTCTGTGTCAATCACATAAATGCGGCCTGATCTGAAATACGTCAAAGCTGACTTAATAAGGATTTTGTTTTTAGAAAACTGATATGATATCTATCTTTGGAGTTCTTTAAACTTGGAAGCGAATGTGAAACTAAATCCAAAATGTGTACTTATGTTGCAGATTAAGTACTTTAAGGCAGTTTTAAATGCCATGACCATCTATGTAACAAAAAGGAGGAAGGAAAGACCAAAATAATTTACTTGTACATTCTTTCTTTTCTCACTGTTACTGATTTTCAGTTTGAAGATGATATCTTATATGGGTTCTTGTATTTCCCCTTATGATAATATAATATATCATTTTATCACAGAAGTACACTCATAGCTGATGGTTATAGATTGACGAGAATTCCTGTTATGATAATAGATACCCCAGTATTCTGATAGAAGGAATTACTACCCAGAACCATATTTGTAAATCTCAACATCCAGATAAATGAATCATGGAAACACAAGCATTGAAATAAATTAGTGCGGAAACTAAAATTAAAAGGAAAACAAAAAGGTGTCCCTTAACTAAATTGCTAATGAATTTTTTCAAATTACATAGATTTAACCCTTTTTGGAGAGGATCTGGTTATTCCCCTTAACAAGGTGGAACTGGACCGTGGTTAAAAAGAAAAAATAAGTAATTGCAGTATAATTCCCCAAGAGACATACATACTTAGGAAAATCATGTGTAAATCACATCTTTCATTCAGTTTGATGGGTAAATAAGGTGTGAAGGGATTACAGATTGAAGATATACTTGAAACATGTATGAGCATGCAGCATATTAGCATGGTGATATTTCAACCAGTTAGTGCAAACTAGTGCTGCTATGTTACTAGAGAAATGAAAATTCATAAAAAGAATTGGAAAGACAAGATGATCATTATCTTCTACTAACTCCCCCCACCCTTCAAGTAACTGTTTAGTTTTAGTCTCTTACACTAGTGAAGGTAAAATCAGAAAACGCCGAATTGCTGATGGATCTCCATAGCAAGAGCTGCATGAATTCCACCCAAAATGGTGCAGTTCATCACCTAGATAGGGTACCGGTAGCCTATGGATAACTTTTGAATACATTGGAGAGCTTGGATCCACATCTACTGTGGCTAGAAAGTCAGGATTCTCCCTTCCTGTTCCTGTATTACAATGAATATTCATCATCAACATGTAAATAAAATCACCAAATTACACATGCTTTGACAGAGATTGTTTCAAGTGCCCCAAACCTTCATGGTAGCACTAGAAAGACATAGATATTCTACAAAAAGGATGTCACTATTACCCATTTTCATATCATATATACTTGATCTTTTATCAACAACAGAAGCAAGTATCTTGAGCATCTCTACATAAGAAAGCTCAAATGTTTGTAACCAAGTTTTTGGTACCTGAGTAGATAGCAGTGACATAAAGGAGAGTCTCTCTGGGACCTGACATGGCTGCCAGTGGAGAAGCATAGCCAGGCCCTGATTTGGGACAATCATGCATGCTGCTTTGGTTCATCACCTTTTCTCTCTTTTCACAATGTTCCATTTCTCTCTCTCTCTCTCTAAAGATTCACTTCACTGATGTTTCCTTGAAAAGAAGAGGAAGAAGAAGAAGAAGATGATGAAAAATGAACAATGAACTCAAGGAAGCGGAAGTAAAGTTATAATTTTCTGTCACTGACTGTTACAACTTACAAGCTACATGTAATGGCAAAAAGGAATAAAAGCTACGTCTTTGGCTTTATCACAAGTCACACTAACATTATTCCAAAGTTTGAAAGAAAAAACCGAGTTTTGAATCTGACATTTTATTGAGCAAAGACTAAAAAAAGGGTGTAGCATTTTTCCAATAAAAAAGCCAGAGTTTCCTTTCTAACCTTTGACTAATGTTCAATGGTTTTTTACCTTCCAGTTCCATAATAAAGTATGTTACAAGATTCCTGTCTCCTAATGTAATTATTATTTATATGGTGTATAAGGACATATAATAGTCTAAACACACTAGGAGAAGTTTTTCCTTTCAAGCCAAATGAGTGTAGGATCATTTTTCTTACCCTGTATCACCGAGAAAAAGCATACACAAAAGCTGGTTTTAGTGCTAATCATGATAAGTATGTAAATATAGAAAAAAAATTGGTACAATAGAAAGCAAACATAATATATGCTCAATGATACAAAACAAAAACTAAAGATCCTAACAGATGAATAGTTTGAAAGTTGTCTGTGACTTTGGGCAATAAAAAACACCAAGACGTGTAACATTTTCCAATTTAGAAGCCAAAGGATAGTCTCTTCCTTCAAATTTAACCTTTCACTAAATTTTAATGGTTTTCTACTTTCTATTTTAGAGTTAATTATCGAAATAAAAAAAAAAAATTGCAGTTTATAAATCGTTGTCTCATATTTCGTTCACATAAATAACTGACACATCTCTTCAATATTACAGATTCTGATCTACAAAATAGATTATATATGTCATTTACCTCAAAGAAAAAGGCTTCTGTTGTATTAATTATACTAAGATAAGAGCCCATGTAAGTCTACTCATTGAACCCAATAATTTTTGTGGATTTCCATTTTCTAATGCTCAACTTGATTTTCATTTTTCAACTTATTATTATCCAATAAGATAAAGCCACGTCTCATTCATTATGATTTGGTGCAAAGCTGGTTAAAATAATAATAAGATTTGTGTTGAAGATTTTGCTGAATTATTTTAATATCATCCTAGATCTTCTACTTGTTGTGCTTATTAACATTGTGCTCAAACCTCTTTAAAAAGACATTGTGTTCACACAAACATTTCTTGAACATTAGATTGGTAGGAAATTTAAATCAATTACATGATTTATTTCAGTACCTGTCTCCAAAAAAAAAGTGTCATATTACTTCACTAAAAAAAAAATGCAAACTTCATGTCAAATCTTATAAATTGAGTCAACATGGAAAATGGTACCTAGAGAATTATGTCTCTAAGTAGAGCCGTATGAGTTGGGGGACTGCTATTTATACTAAATTCACACTCTCTTTTATTGTGCCTTCCAAAATTTAATTTTTAGTAATGTGTTTAATAGCTTTCAAAAACTAAGTTTTGGAAGTGAGTCTCAAATGACTTTTGAAATTTAAGAGATTTTTGGTTTTGGAGACAACATTGCCTGTGATAGAGCTTAGGAATTGATTTGTCTATTTCTTTTTATTTAGCTCTCTTTGGCCGAGCATATTGTGTTTTGTAATAATTTATGCTGTAGCATTGCAGAATTACTCTGTTATGTGATTACTATGTGAATTTCTGTTATAAGTGTCAAGTGATTACCCATTGGGCTTAAATCTAATCATTGTTGACCCAAAAATATGAATTGAATAAAATCTAATAGAGGAAAATTACCAAAAACCAACCTAAGCTAACTTAATATCAATTGATCTCTAACCAGAACTGGGAAGCTCATTGCTCCCTCTTTGTTGGCCAGATTAATGTTTATTGTTAAGGGACTTTCATATTCAATTCTCAATTTTCTTGAGCTCTATCCCACTCAATTTTCCAACAAAATTACAGATTAAATAATAAAAAATACATAGTTTTATCACTCAATCTGTAATGTTTCTTCACAAAAATAAATACTACCTTTTCTGGAAAGAGTATCCAAATGCACCCGATAATTAATTTTATCATCCTCAAAGCAAAAGTCTCAATAATTTTTACATACGAAACAAAATGCGATATCTTTGGCCTCACTCCATCAGCTGGGTATGTTTAATTATGTGCATGTTTGAAAATACACAAAATAATGTTAAACCACGTTTTAATGTGAAAGCTATAAATCTATAGCAATGAATTGAAATGGATTCATGTTAGAGAAGATTTGATGCCAATCCAAACACGCTATAAAGATCTCCTCTGCTTGTATTACACAATTGACACTAAGTAGTTTACTTGTATAGATTGTCTATTTGCTCCCTGTATTGAGCCACAACTCTATCCCTTCGAATTTTCATGGTGGGTGTCATTAGACCATTATCAATCTGTCATTGGACAAAAAGATTAATCAAATATGTCAGTTCTGTGATGTTTATTACAATAGAAGATATTACTGCTTTCAATTCCAAAACTTACGGTGAAGGGTTCATTTACAAGAAGGATAGGTCCAATTTGAAATGGAGATTCTGATGTCCTGCACCATGAATAAGACAGGAAGAATGGGAGAAATGCAAATAAATCAAGATCAAAATGTAGAAAAGAGATTCAGTTAGTGAACACCAAAGAGGGAACGTGTGAACAATCTTTCTTTTCCATTTTGTTTTGGTCATGAAGAACATAACCATGTACCTTTTGCTTTCAGTTAATAAACATTTTTTGGCTTTTCCTGAAGGATATACAAGTAAAACACTGTCGACCTCATCCATGGTTTATAACAGCAATAAAATCAGAACTTAAACTGCCAATCCCGGAAACAAAACTCCCTAAATACTCTTGCATATGGAAACATAAGTTTTGTTCTTATACTCCTCTTTTGGTAAAGGGAAAAAACTTCACAGACACAGTTTCATTCTCTTTTATAAGGCACCTCATCACTCAAAAGGACACACTCGGTAAGGTGGAGATTGAATTATCAGATACATTAAATTTGTTTAGCATTTGTTTAGCATTCGGTGACACCCTTGACCATGAATCTCTGTTTCACTTGTTTAACACTATAACTGGATACAAAACAAGTTAGTTTACTTGCTTTCATTCTCACAATCTTCAAGTAAATCTAATTAACTGTTATAGTCAAACACTGTCCTTCCCTGTAAACAAAAAACACTAACATACCAAAGAGATATCTGAACAAGGCATAAAATTTTTCATGCATTCATTGCAAGAAACAGAAGTGAGACGAATCTTACCAGGTCTTTAATTCTTTATATATTAGGCTCGTCACTTTTTCCACACTAACATCTGAACTGTCAAAATCTATAATTGACAGTTCCTTTGCTACCTTCACAACTTCTTCTTTGTTAGGAACAATTACAGCTCCTAGTCGTCGCTTATCCTATATGTTAAAAATATTACCAATCAGTAAAATCACTACATTTGTACATGTGTAATAGAGTTAATATGAAGAACTTGAGCTATCAAAAGTTGAAAAAATTAATTCACCTGGCCAACAACAACAATTTGTTGAATTATGCTACTCCTCATGGCAGCTTCTTCAAGTTCCACCGGTTCAACATTTTCACCTTCTCTTATTAAAACGAGTAGTTAATACTTACATAAGGGGAGACAAAAGACTGGTGATCATAAGGATTTTGTGCAGAGGGAAAAGTTGCAACTGAGGCTTACAAATTGAAAATTAACCTCAAGCCACACATAAGCATATGACAACTAAGACAGCAAATTGTTTTTGCTAGTTACACAGTCATGAAGTCTAAACTACAAATAAAATTTACTGGATTTTTTTAATTTTCACCCGATAAAAATGTTACTGAATTTTGGAGTTTTTCAACCATTATATGATTATGTTAACAAAATATGTAATTAAGTTATAGGAGACTAAATAAATTAACTGATACAGAATTTTTCATGTGTTCAAAAACTTTTCCCAGGCTATTTGAAGTCCTATGATTCCCAAGGGTGTGATCAAACCAATGTTATCAGTGGATAACCCAGGAACAAGATTTAGGTTTTATGTTTGTAAGAACAAGGTTGAACAAAATTTAACAACTTATACAATAAACGAATTCAAGCACTGGAGGTTCTCTTATTCATTTCTGCTCGAGAACAACTTTTTCGTAACTTATTTGTAAGATTGTTTATTATTCAGTATTGCCTGTTACACAGATAGAGCACAATTGAATTGTATTTTACATAGTAACTGAAAATACAATAGAAACATACATATATACATACAGTAAAATGCAAACTTAAGACATATTATGAAGTAGAATCAATTAATACCCTTTACAATTTGCTAAAATCTAAATGAACATTTTTATTAACAAAAAATATAGACCGTATAAAAAAATGGCAGGCAAAATTGCGCAAGGATTTCACAATCGTGGGTTTGGGGAGGGCCAGATGATTTAAGAAAAAAAAATTAGTGTAAACTATAAAACACTTTTCTTAAAGGATAGATGGCTTTCAACTTGAAGCTGTTCAGTTAAATGGCAGGTTACTTTTATTGGCAGTGTCCTTATTTTCACATATTTAATGGATGAAAAATTATAGAAAACATGCACATACAGACACACTGTAGACAAATTTTTAAGATTCCAAGCTTATTGATTAACCTGTATTGAAACTTCTATTATACCTGTTGAAAGCACAATAGTGTCTTTAGCACGGCCATCCACAACAATCACACCACCACAGTTACGACTACGCCCAGTTGTATGGTGGGGAACCATCCACCCCATATCACCAGTATTTAGCCAGCCATCCCCATCCAAGGCCTGGTTTGTAGCTAAAGGATTCTAATACAAGAATAAGAAATGTAACTATCTCAATATCATCTAGAAAACATCAACAAGACCACATGATATGTGGGTGATATACATTTTGACTCCTCAATTTATGACATAGGTTGCTAGAATGTCACAGAAAAGGTGCTTGATGTCGCATGATAAAACAATAACTCCACTGCCAATGAGAGTTAGCTTAATTATATGAATAAAAACAACAAAGAAGGCTTTGAATTCAATTTCTTTGGATGGACCATCATTGATGTGTCATTTGTATTTGTAAGTACCACTGTAAGACCTCACATAGGCTTATGTTATGCCATGCCCTGAGCCTGGAATCATAAAAACTCCTTCCTCCACAACTGTTTTGGACACACAAAAAAAAGTGCAAAATATACAGCAGGTATCTCTCATATTTGCTGTATGTGACACAAAAGAAGCTAATGTGAATTCATGACAAAAATCATCTCTCTCTTACACACACAATCATGCAAACAAAAAATGTCAGCATTGTGACAAAGCAAATTACCTTGAAGTATCCTTTCATCACTTGTGGGCCCCTGACTTTCAAAATGCCCTTGGAACCAGGTGGAAGAGCTTCATCAGTTTCAGAATCTACTATTTTGAATTCTGTATGATGAACTGGATGCCCGACAGATCCAATAACCTTCAAAAGATTGCATCTGTAACATTCTCAGATAAAAGCACCACTTTGCATTCTTAATTTCTAACAAACGAAAAGAATGAAAATAGGCAACTATTATGAATGTCGTGATCTAGAGCGAGACTTCAAAAGAACCAAAAAGAAACAAAGGGAAAAAAAACTTACTATATCCAGTTATTGCAGATGAAGGATTTAATAATAAACAATTTTCATGACAAGTGTACACCTACACTATACTGGCATATGCAGACAGCAATTTTTCAAGGGAAATATTAGCAACAAACTATTTTTAACAGATTCTTTATAATTAGGTGAATTTCATGTAGGTCCCACTAAAGAGAGTGAAAACTACATGATTTTGTAAGTCCCAATTGAATTTCACTCTGTAATAAAGAGTGTGTTGCTAGTGTTAATTGCATTTGATACGCTGCTTACATTATATCTAGGTCGTCGAGCAGCAATAACTGGTGAAGTTTCTGTTAAACCATATCCATTCTGCACTTTCACACCAATTGCCTGCACATTATAAAAATGCACCAATGTGAAATGGAATCCAAATAAAATGTTTTTGCATTACACATGGGTGAAGTATCAGACCTCAAAAAATTTATCGATTTGACAAGGCAAACTACCACCGCCACTTATTCCAGCCTGTAGAGAGCCAAGATGTTTCCTTGTCAGACCTCAATTTCCAAAATCTCCAAAATCATGAATAATGATGCAACATGGTGAATAGTTTAGATTAATAATGTGTAACAAAACTTGGGGGGAGACCAAGGGCCAATCCCAGAAAAGGCAAAAGAAAGAATAATGACAACTACGATACCACCAAGAATACGGGAAAAGAAGAAATAAGGCACACATAAAACCCTTGACATCTACTCCAGTACCATATCTCATTCCTTTGCAAAGTTAGTGTTAATTCACAATTGTATTTTTTCAAAATAAGACACCATGCTTGGGGTCTTAAATTGAATAAACTCCTTGCTTGATAATTCTCTTCTTTTCATCTAACCAAAGGGGCCATAGCAGACAGCTGGAACCATCTTCTGTACTACCTATATTGCCGTTGCAACCCAGAAAGACCTCCACTCAGTGGCTACTATCATTGATGAGGCATCAGAAAAGGAAAGGGAGAAGAACACTAGCCTTAGCCAAAAAGCTGATAAAGATACATCTTTTTATTACCAATGTAGGAATAATTAACAACTCAATTGGTTTGTTAATGCTTAATACGATAACTGATTACTCATTAATCACTCCTTGAAATTCATGATCCAGTTAAGTGGTGTTTATTGTTTCAATTGAAAATATTTTTACTAAGAGTTTCTTCCTTTCACATAATTTTCATATCACCTTTATTTTTAAGATAAAAACAGTATTGCACTAAACAAAACGAGACAACAAATAACATAAAGACAACCATACAATATCGGTATTATAAGACAACAAAGAAGAAGAAGAAGAAGAAGACCTTTGATATTCCAATAGCTGAATGGATTTTACTGTAGACGAGTTTCTTCGCCAGCATATGAATGGGAAGTAAAATTGAGCATATTATTCTTGCCCACAACCAGTCCAACATTGAATAGATGTAAGAAGCCTGCTTCTTATTGTTTGTCAGACATTTACCCTTCAAGCATATTTGAAATTTAGTAAATTTGTGTTGCAATATTCGTATACTTGTTTAAACATAATAAGAAAGAAAGTGGTACTAATATGAAATTAACTTTTAAATCAAACAAAATAAAATTAATTATACAATAAAGTGAATAAACTACATAGACTGCGAGGCAGATGGAATCAAGCAGGCAAAATGACACTAGGAGTATGTTTCGGAGGGGAAGAGAGGAGAGGACATATTTTTTATCTTAAATTATCATAATTATATATCACTTATGATGATAAATCAATGATTAATACATTAAGTTTATGTCAATATATCAATTTATATTTTATATTTTAAATAAATATTAATTTTAAATATATTTATTTAAAATATAAAATTTGTCTTCCTTTTTCCTCCCCTTCAAAACTCTCCTTCGCAAACAACCCCCAGAGTCTTGATTTGAGGAAACAAATTAAGAAGTACCATAAATTCAATTTTCTATACTTCCCATTGACTTAATTCACAATGTTATTGAAGAGAAAGTTTTGGGAGTCCTATAATGCAACTACTGAGCTAGGATATTGTATAAAACAGAGATAAAGCAACAAAATCATTTAATCAATATATTATTCACCACTATGGACCTTCTACATTAGCATATTTTATATAAAGTTGGAAGGGATTCTGGCAAAAAAATTCTAAGCAAATTATCCAATCAATTTGTTACAGAAGTTACTTAAAAACAAGTAACAGTTATCTACAAACCTGAAATCCTAAAGATAACTCAGTCACAATATTGTTAAATCATCACGATGTTTACCTTTTGCATTTATTTTGGATAAAATAAGAAGTTGTTGAGAGAGAATATTTCAAAAGCAAAGAAAAATGGAATGAAAAGAAAACAGAGATAATGGTTCATTTAAGAGTTGTTCTGTCCAAAGAGATGAGCAATTAAGGATCTCAAAAGGACCTGATGAATCATGTTAAACACTAGAGAGATCAAATAAAAAGAACTAGTGCCCAAACCTCATAAATACGCTTATGCTCCATGTATGCTAAGCTGACCCTTATGAAAGTTAGCGCTACAAGCTTTCTAACATGGGAGGCTGTAGATATCTGCTTCATGATCCCACTGCCGGGGAAACAATCAATAAAAACAATGAAAGTTATATTCCAAAGAAACATAATGTTCTAATGCTTGCAATTTGTTGACCGCCAAGGTGCAACTTACCATAAAGTATCAACAGATTTAACTTAGTCTTTTATCCCTTAAATTATTCAAAAACATCAAACAAGCACCAAGAACAGGAATCGTAAAGGATAAATTTGTTGATATAAAACGGTGCATGAAATCCAAGGTCAAACATAGGATAAATAAAATAAAGTAATAGGGAATATTAATGATTAGAACTCCCCAATTTGTCTGAAGGTTTATTTGAATACTTGCTCTAAACTATCTACCACTGAACTGGAAAAATTATCGCAAAAACATAAACAAAAATACAAAAGGACACCAAAGATTTAACTTGGTTTATTATTGACCTGTAACCAAGGGAGAGAACAGGAGCAATTAGCAAAAGTTCACTATCAAAATAACGAAATATTGTTTTCATATTACACAACCAAACCCCAATTTCATCTAAAATCTTCTTATCTTCAATTAATATTTTGATGTATGTTACAAATTAGCACAATGTTAAAGGATATTACAACTAATATGTAAATTTGAAAGTTGGCTAGAAGTTAATTAATCTATTAGTTTGTTATTTCAGATTGTCAGTTATTGTTCGTTTAGTCAGTTCTTGTAGTTGCTTTCAAGCAATATACAGTTGTACAGCACTATATTCAAACCTTGGCTCAAATTATACCACACAGATTACAGGAATCATCAGCACTCATAAACTCTCCTTAAAATATTATTCAAAATCCAAATTCATGCATCATACAATTCCTACAAGAGGATTTACCTGTATAATGTTTCAAAAACCAAAGGAACAGAAATCAAGTAATGTGGTTGGTAACGTTCCAAATCATCCTAGAAAGTAAGAAAAGGAGTGCATGTTAATACACGTACATATAAATAAAAAATGACCAATTTATCACATTCAGCAATGCATTGTCTTAAGCTTTATTTCTCTTTTCTACCCAATATTGAAGTCACATTAGAACTGTGCAAGAAGATACATTTCCACAATGTCTCAAACACATGATCAAAGTAATAGTATACCTTGAGGTTTCTGACGGTTGTGTATACTTGTTCTATACCGCATGTGAAAATGAAATACTCACAAGCTCTTTCATATGCATGCCAAGGTGGTAGCATGCTGAGAAATCTATCCCCAGCTATAGCAGGCACGATGTCCCATAAGTTTTCTATCTAGAAATTGATCAACAAACGAATCAAGGGTATGATAAAGCCAAGAATCATCCTCAACTGAAACCAAGCTTCACAGGGAATGAGGTTAAAAAGAAGGTTAAGTTGTAATCAGGTAGATGAACTTCTAAATTTTTTTTTTTATTAAATCTCTAGTCACATGTATGTTAGAGTTCCTTTAAGTGTAAAAACTTAACTAGATTTTTTTAATTAAATCTCTTTAGTTAAATAAATCTTAATGAAAATGTATGACTAGGATTGAATTAAAAATAATTTTAAAATTCAGGAACTTAATCACAAATTTTTCAAGTAAAGTTCAATAAACTAAGGCAACTTGAAGCCGTAACATTGTCACAATAATTTTTAAAGAAGGTTAGTAATGAAACCTGATGTAGAAGATTCCGATGAGTAAGCATAACACCTTTGGGATTTCCAGTAGTTCCACTTGTGTATACGAGAGTGGCAATGCTATCAGAGTTTATTGCTTCGTAGACATAACGCTGTTCTGCTGTGAATATAGTATGTAAAAAAGTACCACGATTACTGCTTTTCTAGATGATTACTATAAAAAAAATATGCTGTCTTTTCTACATGAATCAAGAAACTTTTTTTTTTTTTCAAAATATAAACATTCTCATTTGAAAAAAAATATAGAGTTGTTAAAATGGACCGTTTGATTAACCTGGTATTTATTGGGTTTAAAAATTTTAAAGTAAAGGCTTAAATTGATCCTTGTAAAACATTTTATCCTCTAGTGAAAGAGAATTAACCATTTCATCTATCGAGATTAAAATTGTGACACTTAAATTTTTTATTCATTTTGTCTTTACATATGATTAATTCCTAAAAAGTGAACTATGTACTAATTTAGTCATTGACAAAATCATGAATGATTCTTATTAATTTTTGAAAATGTTAACTCAAACAGACAGAGCACTAAAAGATCTCATGTTTGTAATCTTATTAAAGTATCTCATGCCTGTAATTTGAAGAGACTAAGTTTATGTTTGTTTGCATTTTAAAAAGAGTTTTCTCTCTTTAGAAAACATACTCTAAATGATTTTTTTAAAAAATGAAAACTTCATGTATTTCTTCTTTTCATTTTTAGGACCACTGTTTGTAGTTTTTATCAAATAAGCATTGAATATATTTGCCTGATTGTCCTTTTTTTGGGTAACGCATTATTGTCCTTAAAAAAAGGTTGCATTATTGCACAAAACGAAGGAAGGCAAAGTAATTGTTCATAAACAACTCGGGTGGTTATTAGGTACGTAGTTCCTATCAATTTTGAAAATATCAAACCTTTTCTAAAACAATAGAGACAATCATTTAATGTGATTTTACATGTAAAATATCATTTAATGTTTTTGTATAAAAAGGTGGGTCAGACCCCTTGGTCTATAACCTACAAAAGGTTAGATCAAACGAACAAATTGTCTACTCACAATTAAACTAGCCTAACTTAACCTGATTGAATCGGATTGACCCCAAATTGACAGCGTTAAAAATTAAATCCAAAGGGCATTAAGAGAGAAAAAAAAAATTATACATATTAATTTTTAGGAAACAAGTTGGTACAAAAAAAATATGAAACAAATACAGGTAATTTCCTCAATTTTCATTCTTCGAGAAATCTGACTGTTTCCTTATCTGATCAACGAAATATATTGCAAATTAAAAGGTCCCATCAAGCATTATTATCTCACATGTGTTTCATATGCTGTAGAACTTATGGAACTAACGATTTACTTTTGGAAGTTGTTAAGTACCATACCCAAGGTTTATGCTGTAGATATTAAATTTTGTCATAGATGTTTAAAAATTCATATTTAGTTCTGTTTACTTTTACACAGAGATATTTTATTGGCGGTAAATACAATGTAAGGAATATAGCTAAGAAATTGAAATAGTTCTTGATAATTAATTGTGAAAGAAAAGGTGGCATGGTCCAGCTTCATTGTCAAACTTTCCTGCGGCTGATAGGAACTAAAACAAATGTTTTCAAACAGATATTGACACCTTCTCAGCTACAGAAGAACATGATTTTCTTTTGGCATTTTTTTGTGGTTCATAGGTGATTGGTTTTCTTAGAGGGTATCTTTAGTACACAACAACTAGAGAAAACTGTTGGCTTGATATGCCATTTTAATGTTTCCTTCTGTTCTGTGTGTTGCTGATGGGAAAGCATTTATTAATGTACTATCATATATTTCTAATCTCTATCTACTTTTATGAAAATTCTTAAGAAAGTACATTAAAAATATTTCTTGATAATTTTTTTTACCTTTTTTATTCATTTGCCTTATAAAAATTCCTCTTTTATCAAGTAGAACAAAACAAGAAGATTGCAATAAAGAGAAAGAGTTAGTTAGTTGCATACCAGCATCACGAGAATCAAACAAAGTCCTACGACTTTCTCGCCCCAAATCTACAACTTCCATGAAACTAAATACTGGCACGTCCTTGTTTTCTTGACCAACCAGATTTGCTTTTTCTCCCCAAAGCAAAATAATAAATCTCATGCTAGTCTTTGAATAGAATGTTTTCGCAATCCGGTTAAACAATTCAGGGTTATCCACGACTAGTGCAACACTGAATAACAATAGCATAAGTTAGCAAAAGTCTGAGTTCAAACAATGAAGATTAGCATTTAAAGAAAAATGTGAAAACCAATAGTTAATTTATCTAGGTCAGTTCATTAAGAATTGCTTGCAATTGAAGCTCACAACCTAGTCACAAAATGTGAATTTGCAAAGATCATTATTCAAGATTCTTGAAATATTTATCAAACCTTTCAGAGTGGTTGTATATTTGCAATAGCTCTTCAACTGATGACCTTGATCCTCTGACCACATTGATTGCTCCACTTGCCATCATACCTAGACTAAAAATATAGCATTGGTGTGATAAAAATAAAACTACTATCGCCGACAAATACTACAAGTGTGTAGCCTTTTGGATCAATATGTGTGTATCAAATGCTGAAATAGTGTACATCGTAGTATCACTTTTAAGTACTACATCACACAAAGCAAACTACTTTAGAACTTACACAACTCATATTGATATAAACACTAAATATCTGCCACTAAGGTCGGCATCTATGATATATGCATATATGAAAATAAAAATTTCACCTTTACTTGATGACAGTAATTTTCACAAAACAAGCGATTTTTAGAACTCGGGGATAATTTTTTCGAAACATGATAGTACCATTTCCTTCACATATACATTCACAAACACAGCATATATTTCTCAAAAAATATTATTGTGTTTTTTAAATATTACCATATTTTATTGTTGTTATTTGTTTTTGAAAAGTAAGTACACATAAGATTCGTGCAATTGGCAATTCCTAGATCCAATAACACTTAAAGTTGGGAGGGGGGGGGGTAATTTTTGCGCACCTTGATCGGCCACAAGCCAACGACATGAATTGTCTGAAAAAAGCGCAAGCTTTTCCTCTGGTCTTATCCCAATAACTCTCAAGCCTTCTGCAAAGTCCAAAATTGCCTGCTCCAACTGAAATTTTGATACAGAACAAAGTGTAACTCCAAGAACCATAAAGCAACTTTTTTCTAGTGAGATTTGAGAATATAGCAATTACAACCTAGGAAGGTCCAACACTTCAAAAGAGGCATCATGTTTCTCATCCAACACTTCTCAAAAACATTCCAACAAAACATACCTTCCGCCAGGTACATTCCTCAAGGAGTTTTTTACTTGTTAAAATAGATATAGACAAGTTAATCTAATATTCACCTTCATTATTGCTATATCCAAATAAATTTTTTGCTTTTTAAAATTTGAAGCAAACCTTAGTCATCACTCATTTTCAACGTGTATGATTATTAGAACAATTTGGCAAAAGGGCACAGAACACAAGGGGAAAAAAAATACCTGTTTATAAGTCATAGTTGTAGGAGGATCATGATATGGATCTCTTAAGGCTACATTATCACCATACTTCTCCGCAGAAGATCTCCAAATATCAGGAACTGCTTTCCACTCATCTGAGGCCACAGAACCATTCCCCAAAAGTAGTGAACTTTCTAGAAAAGGGGAGCACCTTCTTATCTCCAATGTCTCAGTCTACATGCACATGAACATCATAACAAAACCATATTATGCTTAGCACTCTCTATACACACTTGCTATGCGAATATCCTAGTTGTTTAACACGCAATAGAGAGATCTTAGCTAATGATTCTTTCTTTCTTACATGCTAAAACATGTTTGAACTTTGAACTATTTATAGGGGTGGATCAGATCAATTTCTAAATAAAAGTCTCATCAAAATATAATCTTTGTCCTCTCAACAAATTGTCATGATATTCAAAGGAAAAAAATAAACATGTTGCCGCAAAAGGGAAGCTCAGAATTACCTTGGATTGGCAAAACACGCGAAAATGAGAGAGTGGAGAAGATGGAGCAGGGGTAGCACCATGTTTCGTGCGAGAAAATGTGATCCTAGAAAATTTGCAGCGTGTGAAGAAGAGAGGAAGAGCATGTTGAGGGTGGTTGTACGTGGTGGGAATAGTCGTCATTTGATGATTAACAAAACAAAGAGAGCCACAAAAATGGTGAAGAGTGGCATAACACATTGTTTAGAAAAATAACAATATCATAGATGGATAAAGAGACAGAGAAGTGGCTCCTTGTATTTGTTGTAGATGTCGAAGAGAACAGAATTCTCGAACTCTCCGTTACAAAACGCCGCTTTGTCTGGTGATACGTGGTTGGAACCGACCACAAAATGAACCAGCATACATGGCACATCACAAAACTACGTACGCCATAGAAGATATAGAAGAAAATACAAGATTTTTCTTTTGTATTCATTGATATGATTTTTACCTTACTTTGATTAGACCGTACAATCATAGCATTATTTTAGAAATATAGATAATCATTTAAAATGGAAATATATTTGTAATTTTCATACGGGTCATAAAATTCAATTGTCGTCTAAATAAATTTTAAAAACATAATCAGGCATACTCGTAAAACATTTAAATGTCATTTTTATTTTCACAGCAAAGAAAGATATCATTATTGAAGGAGTACGAGGGTATCCCAATTCTCAAGCATGTCAGTTCGAGTGTTTAATATGAATTCTGAATAAATTTTTTAATACAATTGCATTTAGAGTAGTCACTTCTCAAACATCCCATCTCAATTGTTTACAATATGAACAAAGATTCATATACAGTTGCATATATGACCATCATTTCAAGCATGTCATCCTAATTTTACAATATTAATTTTAATAAAAATTCATATTTCAATTGCTTCTAAAACTGTCAATTCTCGAGCATATTGTTCCTATCTTAACAATAATCAAGATTCTTGTTTGCAAGTCACACCTCGGGTCATGAAGGCTCAAATATTCTATTTGGATTCAATTTTTTTAATGAAGATTTATCTGAGAGTTGAAAACCGGAAAGTTGGATTTTGGGCAATCAAGATTCACTCTTAAACAAACAGAATAAGGGATTAATCTTGTAAATGGGTTTTGGGTCATTGAGACTCGTTTATCTTACAAAGATTAATAAAGATTGAATAATCATAATCCAAGATTTTCAGTTTTCACAGTCCAGATAAAACCATCATGGCTTGAATAAAGATTCATCGATAATGAGAGTTCTTAAATGATCAAGAACTGGTTCCATTGTTAAGGTTACAAAACTACCTCAAAAGATTCATGCCGAACATCTTTCAAGGACAAAATGAGTTCATTTACTCAACAAAAACAACACTTTGCCTGGGGAACGCAAGAAACTAAATTATGATTAGTGGCATCGTTAAACTTCACGAGAATAAAAAAAAACTCGACCATTTCTTTCAGTTTCTACACGTTTCTCTCTCTCTCTTCGGATTTGATATTGTCTTGACTATGATAATGTTTATTGTAAGTCACTGAGCCGAGCTTTTATACTTCAACGTATGGGCTTAGGAGTTAGGCCCATTCACAACTCACATTTTTATAACCACTTTACCTTTTTTTAAATACTATTTTTTAGTTTTTAAAATTATTGTAAAAATATTAATTCAATTAAGAGTGAATAAATGCATGATGTTAACTTTAATATAACCAAAATGTTAAAAATAAAAATTAAATTACTAAAATAACCTTAGTTTGAGTGGAAAAAATTGCTGTTAAACTATCCTACTTTTACATATAAAAATATTGAACACAAAAAGAAGATTATAATATAAATTTGAACACTTAGCATTTTTTAATAAAACCTTTTAACCTAGTTTATTAAATATTCACTTGACAGTAAGTACGTTTTCTAATATTTTATGACATTAATCAAGTTTTATAAATATTAAAATCACAAAAATAATCTTTAATTCTTCAAATAAGTTATTTGATTAAACAAAATTTTAAAGTAAACAGATTTTACAAGTTGAAATTATTAGTCTTTTTAAAATAGACTATAATTTATATATATATAATTTTTTAAACAAAACGGTCTCTTTAAATTTATAAATAAACAACTTAAACAATAATTTTTTCAAAAAATATATAATTCTCATGTTATATCTCTTTTTATAAAAATAGATTATCTAAACAAAATTCTTTTTCATACGATTTCTCTATCAACAATTCATTGTTTTTTTCTAGTATCTATTTATATTTTTTTTTTTGCTTCAAGTATCTATTTATAAAATTTAAGTTTATGTGAATGATAACGTGACATTTATATTCTTCTTCTTTTATGTTTTAAAAATTTAAATTCATAGTTCTTAACCACATAAACTTTTATTTAAATATAAAAGATATAATTTTGTTAATGACATTTTTCATTTATGTTGTGTCTCAATTAAATTATATAAGGTAATTCGAATACTATATAGACAAATAACGAAACAATTAATTAATAGAATAATATTTTAGTTATATAAAATTCTTAAACTTGAAAAGTGAAAAATCATATTGATACAATATTTGTTATACCTTTAGATTAATTGGATTTTTTTCAAGATTCCTAGACATAATTTTGAGTGACCCCTTAGCATTTCATTGAAAAAAATAGTTTCTCATATTTTTAGAATATTATATTTCTTAATATCATTCCAGAAATTTTCAAATTGCCTGATATCTTTCTAATTAGTAAACTAAGATTCTAGATACTAACAAATTATTAATAACGGAATTCGATAAAATAATTTTTTTAAAGGAATTATATCAAGGTAAATTAAAAAGAATAAATAAATAAAAATTACACATTTTTTAAAGACTATATATATTTAAGCATAATAAAAAGTAATAATACTAAAAAAAAAGTACACACTTGTGGATAACACAATTGCAAACATATATTATCATTTTAGTTTTATAAAAACTTAAATTAATAAATAAAATTATATTATATCATGTTATTTTTTATTTGGTACAAAGAAAAATAAATGAAAAATATATTGATTAATATAATATAATCTTAATATTTATTATAATTTTGAAATTCTTAAATACAAAATCCACAGATATTCACTACGATACCCACTGATAAATAAATACAAGTAAGACTACACTGACGTGAACAAAAAGAATCTTTTGTCCACTGCTGCATAGTTAACTGTAAAATCACAGATACATAATTAAACAATCTAATGACTCCAATTGACAACCAATCACCACTTTTGTTAATTATAAATGACTAAATGTGAACCCCTGCTACTTTCATTAGCCAATGCTCAAAGCGTAGATTTAACATTCAATGGATTAAACCCTAAACCATTTTCCTCAATTTATAGAAATAATGATAAATTGTTAATGGCAGAAACATTACTTAATAAGATGAATTTTATTTGTGCAAAGACTGTCATATATACATTAATTATTGAAAGTGACACTTATTATTTTATATACTTTAATCTTTAAATATTTATTTACATTTTAATCATTTTTAGAAACTAAGTAGTCTTTGAAATGTTTATAACTTTTTTATTTTTTGTTTTACTTTATAAATAAAATTTAGAATATAAATAAATTTAACATATTGAAAATTAAATTATAGAAAACAGAACATTTAGATAACAAAAATGTCACACTGAAAGATAGAATATAAATAACAGGCACTGCTACACAAAATCTTGATAGTTCACCGTAAAACGAAAACAGCTGCAACGAAAGCACTCTTCGCCGCATTCACATCCCTAGAGGCACCAATATAATAATAATTCACAGAGCCGCAGCTTTATAAAGAAACGCCTCGTCGTTTTAGTGTCCCTCACTCTCTCTCTCTCTCTCTCTCTCTCTCTCTCTCTCTGCGGCCATGGCGTCGTTGTCTGCCACCGTCTCTCACTTCCCCAGCGTTTCACCAACTCATTCTTCGCTCCGCCCTCACGACAGGATCTTCCAATCTCAATGCCGCCCTGTCTTCGTCTCGCGTCGTTCTCATTCGTTTCGGTACGCTTCGTTTCGTTCATTCTCTTCGCTTTTGCTTTGGATCAAATGACGCAAATGGTTGTGTAGGTTCGTGCTTTGGAGTTTTTGTCTTTGATTGTTGATACAACATCTAGTAACTTGTTTCTTTGTTTTACTTGCACACACTTATTTGTTTATTTCTGAATGGGAATATGCCACTTCACATTTATTTTTCTCTAAAAAGAAAAGAATAAGAAGAGGAGAGCGAGCGAATATTAGTTCCGGTTTTTTTTATTAGTAAGTTTATAGTTGGATGGAGAATTTGAAGGTATATTTGCTCGGTTTTAAGAAGCATGGAGTGTGTTTTTTGATTGTCACATGCAGTTTACGAACCAAAAAAACAAAAATTGAATAATAAGAGCGTATAAGACATATATCTGACCAATGATAAAGTTGTAACTGGACCCCGTGGTATCATATATTTGGAATAAATATGTAAAACAGGGTCTATTTGGAAGAGCTAGGCTTCTTGGCATAGCTTATTAAAATAAGCTGATTTCAGCTTATACCAATAAGTTTCATGGTTAAATTTATAGCATAAGTCATCATGTAAAAAGAGCTTACTGAATAAGCGTTTCATTGAGCTGTGTATCTAAACACAGTTAACACACCCATAATATCTCTCTCTTCAACTTGTTTGTTCTACATGCAGTATATTCTCCACTATTTTTATTTTTATTTTGTTTATTTATCCTATCCATGTAGAGCATAGACTGTTTTCAGGATTTTGGGACTATATATGTATACATTTAAAAGATATTCTCTCCATGAGCTTAATTGGCTTTTTGTGTTTGGCTGTCTATTACATGAGCATACACTGGTTTTTGTCTCAGAAAGAGTCTTATTTTACCACTGGGAAGAGAGTCACCAAGCACCACGATACATGCTTCATTTACAGGTTGCGACTTAACTATTATGCTAGAACTTGTCCTTGGTTGGTCTGTTGAAGAAGTCAAATGTAATGACATGTTTTTATTTTTTTTTGTTTATTTACTAGCAGATGTTTCACTGAATGTGTCGTTAGAGGAAAAAAAGCTTCCCAAAGGAGAAACTTGGTCCGTTCACAAATTTGGTGGAACCTGTGTGGGAACCTCACAAAGAATAAAAAATGTTGCAGACATAATTCTTAATGATGATTCAGAGAGGAAATTGGTGGTTGTCTCTGCGATGTCAAAGGTGACAGATATGATGTATGACCTTATCTACAAGGCTCAATCACGTGATGAATCTTATATATCATCATTGGATGCTGTTTTGGAAAAGCATAGTTCAACTGCACACGACATACTTGATAGAGATAATCTTGCTACTTTCTTGTCTCAGTTGCATCATGATATTAG